GAAGCAGTCTTTAATGTATTGCAGTTTGTGTTTGCATATTTTGAGTTATCTGAAGAGATAGTGTCCGACAATAGTCTTCCATGTAGTTCGTGATTATTTGAATGCTTTAATAAACAAAGTAATATTAAAACTACAAAAACTCCCCCATTCCATAGTCAATCCAATGGCCTTGTAGAAAAAGCTGGGCATACAATTAAAGAATATTTTAAAAAGTATGTATTGGATGTAAAAATAAGCAGGTTGTCTACTGATGAAAAAATATTAAGGTTCATTACAGCATATAATACCATGCCTTCGACAGTTATAACACGATTTCCAGCATCTGAATTTTCTATTATAAATTGAGATCAGTTATTTCATAAATTAATACTAGAAATAACTTAAAACCAAATAATTAGCAGGTTCATAGGAATAGAGTTAGATTTGATTAAGGACAAAATAAGTACTATTGTATGGATAAAGAGGTTGTTCGGTTTAAAGCAGAGTGCTATATAGAGAATCACTTTAAAGAGTATTTTAAATGGTTACCAGTTAGAATAATGAAACAAGTAGCAAGTATTTATATCTAGTTTGTCTAAAAGGTAAGGACAGAATAGTTCATGCAAATCAATTACGGTATTCTAAAAATACTGAAATGACAATGGTAAATTATCAGTAGTATTGGGAAACAGTAAAGATGGGATTTTAGATGCGATCCGTGTGATACTAGATAGTAAAGAAGGAAATAATATAGTTGTGCGCCGTTCTGGAAAAACCAGGAAACAGCTTAAGAGGTATTCTTAATTTTGTTAGAATTTTTATATTGTTTTTGATGTATTAATCATATTGCTTATGTTTAATTTAAATATTTAAGTATGTCTAATTATTATGATTATTTCATTGTATTAATTTGTACTGTTTAGTTCTTATTTAAAAAGGAGACGATGTAGTGTATTGGTTATAACACATTATCTGTAAATATTGTCTTGTGTCTAATCTAAAAATATACCAACAAAGTTAATTCATCTATAGATCTAATACCGTAAACATGTCTCTCTTTATTCTCAATAACAAAACATAACAGATCTGTCCATAGGTTAATAGGTCTATAGTCTATGAAGACCTATGAAGTACATTATATAATGATTATTTATTGATTGATACTACAAATGGACATATTATAATCATGATTATAGATACTACAGGTAATACCGCTGATTCACAGCAATGACTGGTGGACACTTTATAATAGGTTATTTAGGTCGTAGGACAACTATAGTATTCCTTTTAAGTAAGTACTATGATAGAACTTATTTAAAATCATGCGACATGCGTACAACAGTTAAGTTCTCTCTGAACTTCGGTCTCCGGATAATAAGAAATATAACAAAGAAAAGGATAAACCACGGTCTTGTTAGTTTTTTAATCTTGCAGTATATATATAGTGACCAGATATAAAAATCTAAAAAAAAAATTAATTTTAAAATTTAGGTCCTGCAGGATAAAAAAAAACCCTCCCTTGAAAAAATTGGCCAATGTGTATTGGTATACTATTCTACCAATTTTGATTTTGCCATTGTCTCAATCTTCGTACAATATTTTTTTATCTGATTACTCTATTATTATTTTTTCTTTTATCAACTATTAAAACTAATTATTTGAAATTTATAATGTCAACTTATTTGGTTTGTGTCTTTATAATGAAAAACCTTTAAATTTAAGTAATTTTAAGTAAACTTTAAGTACACAGGTATAGCTAATTAAAGTATACATATTTGAATTAATTTTTAAAGGTAAACATTTAAATAAATACAAAACTTTATTAATACATGTTTCCTACATATTTATATTTAGTTATTAATTATAATTTTCAAAAAAAATAGTACAATTTCATGTACTTAACACTATTATTAAGGACATAGGACAATGCATCAAAAAAGAGTACGTCTGGTCACCATAAGTGTATAAAACCATGGCATAAATTATTTAAATAATTCAAATAATTTATCGGATGTATCCTTTCTTCCTTAAAAACATAGGGAATGCTCTTCTCACTACACAAACTAGACAATACCCATTTTTTTATCAGAACCCATCATCGCCAATGTTGATAAGCGGGAGCAAAATTGTTGGTAGAAAAATTATTTAGACAGAAAAAAAGAAACCTTATAGTAAATATATCATAATATAAGTTAAAATAAAATAATGTATAAGCGCACAAAAATGTTACCTGCCATAGTGTTGTAAATGGTGAAAAACGTTATTTTAAACTATTGCAAAAGCTATTATGTAAAAAGATATAATTAGATTGATTTGATTATCAAGATTTTTCTTGGATGTCCCAAATATTCTACTATGTTCATTAATTCATACATAAAAATGTATTTGTTACACAATTAAAAATATTAAATTAATTTTTTTTTTCATAGGTCTGTCATTTAGGTTGAAAAGTGTAAAGCAAAATATTTTTTATTTACATGCCTAACTGAACTTATCAAGAATTACAAATTATGTTTATTACATTTTGAAGACAAAATCATTTCTAATTTTCAAAAAAATAGCTTTTTTGCCCATGCTATAGTATATTTTAACTTATTTGTTTTAAATTCAAAAGTTTAAAAAGTTGATAAACATTGAAAGATTCAGTTCTATGTGTTTATTAAAAAACAAAAACAAGAAAAAGGTAAGAGAAAACCATCTTGTAAATTTGTTTGTAATTTTTAGTAATAAAATTTATTATTTACAAAGGCTGTAACAATAATAGTTACCTAATGTAATTCTTTAATAGAAATTCATACTAGTATACAAATTATGTTAATTTTAGAAAATAAATAAAATATTTAACTATCCAGTTTTATGTGAACATAATTATTGTAAATTATCAACTAAATAAATAAAACCAAACAAAATAAAATTTGTAAATAAATAAACTAAATAAACTTGTACTACAGTAAAACTTAGTAATTCTTAAGTAACAGAAATTTCAATGAACAACTGTTAATTATACACATAGTTTCTACCAGATTAAAAGTACAAACATATTTAATTAAAATACATAATAATAATAGTTAATAATAAAATAAATAACTGAATCTAAAAATTCTGAATTGTAAAAGTTTCAAGAAGATATATTGTTATAAAGAAAAATATTTTTTACTAGTTCATAATTTCATAAATTTACAAAATATTGAATGTATTTCAAATTACTATCTTCATATAATATCTACACAAATATAGACTATTTAGTTAGTATATTATTGTTAGGACCACCAAACAAAACTTGTTCAATTTCTCTTCAATAAATAAATCAAACACCATTCAACAAATAAACATAATTTAATTATTTTTTTAATCATGTTATAAGATATAAATTGCATTTTTCTAATTCCTCAAGTATATTTTTCATAATTATCTTTTAATTATTTTATTCTGACCAACATAATAACATAATGAAACATATAAATCACAATCTTGGAACACAACTGCCTCTGGTCTTTAAATTTGTAGTTTTGAGAAAAATTAGCTTTAGATATCAAATTTGATTTAAGAATATAATGTTTAAGTTAATTCAGTATTACAAACCTTTTATTTAACATTGTTTTTTGTACTTTAAAGTAGCCTGTGATATTTTGATATTTTTTATCATTAGCAGTTTTTAATTATGTTTGATGATATATATAAATAAATAAAAGATAAGTAACTGGTTAGTGGACATATATCTGTAACTCAATTAAAATTAATTGAACTTTAACGTTTTAACTAGTTATAATGCTTAAAGCCTAAGAAAAACATATTGGTTTTTTCATAAATATTTTAGTATTGCTACATTACATTTCAACTATTCCAATATATGAATAACACTATATATGAAATCAAAATGTATACTTTTTTTGAAATTGCAAATGACTAATTTTATAAAAACATTCAAACTAATAAAGTTATTGTTCACATAAAAATTTGTGTTTACAATTTTATTGTGTAATTGCAGTCCTAATTTTATTAGCTAACCTTTTTTTTTCGTGCAGTCATATCTTAAAAATAAACCAACCAGTTAAGGGCTTGTCAATTTAGTCAAATGATTAGTGCAAAATACAGATCATTTATCCTCTCATATAAATCATTTATATTTTGAAAAATATTCTATAAATTCTATAATAAATCAAGCTTGTCAAAGAATAACTGTAATGATTAATCATAATTTTTAATGACCTACATTCCTTCTTTGGTACCTACTGTAATTTACTATACTTTACATCTTATCCAGGTTTGTAGGGTTCAACTAGTAATTTAATATGAGAAATAAGCCAAAAAAATACTAAAATATAAGATAGTGAACCAATAGGTTTATAAAAATATATAATTTTCTTTAGTATTATTTGTTTAATATTGCACCCCATTTGCTGAGAAAACTCTTGAGAAATCAAAAAATGACAACGTTAAAGTACCTTCACAATCAGATTTCCTTTCAGAAAAAATGTTATCATAGTAAATTAAAGCAAAGATGCTGGTAGAAAAAGTGTTCACATAAAAAAAAAAAAAATTAATACATTTGTAAAACCAATGCATTCTTCACTACATTCAGAATCTAAAATACAAGCCAACACAAACAAAATTATAGCATGATTAAAATACAATTTAAATATTTAACACAATTCACTTAATCAACATATTTGAAATATGGCAGTTCTATGTTCATTAAAACAATAAAAACAAAAGAATTTATACTGAATCATGTTTGTAATGCCAAACTTAATCATGATCCTATTTATGGTGAATTAACTTTTATAGAAAAACATTTTTTTATTGTATTTGAAATAGTATATATATATATATATATATATATATATATATATGTGTGTGTGTGTGTGTGCCTATAGCATCCACATAGTGAAATCACACATTTCATGAACTGGAAATCCAAATAGTGAAATTAGTCCAGATCGTAAAAATATGGAGGTATAGTTTATTAACTATTGTTTAAATCAATCAATCAATTATTTTGTTAATAGAACAATATAAGTATGGTTTATGAAAAATAAAATAATGTAATATAATATAATTTATTGACTATAATGTCTATATATGTCTATAATTTTTTTTATAAAAGAATATAGAAAAGTACAGTTTACTATGATATATTATAATTATTTACTCCTAAATAACATAAAAAATGTTGTTTTATAATAACTATACAAAGTACACAATAGGTATAGGTAATATTTTTTCCATGAAATGGATGTCCATATAATGTATTTTTATTCAAATTCAAGATCTGGATGAATTTCACTACCCAGTTCATGAAATGAATGATTTCACTATGTAGGTCAAACATATATAACTCAAAAGTGTCAAAGGTTGTGTTTTGGTGATCTGGTAAAAAGGATGTAATATATTATTATATACATATATACATATTTGTATAGAGTAAACACACTGAATGATCAAGTTAGCGTTTATTTGCACAACCCAAATTACTGGATCCAGAAACTTAAAGTAAGGAAAAATTTAGGTATATATAAAGAATATAAATTAAATGGTATCACACAATTTGTATTTTTACTTATAATAGTCAATAATATTAATTTAGAACTTTGATTTTACCTTTTATATGGTATTAAATTATTTTTTACGAGCTAAAAAGAAAAAAGCATTTTCAATCAAAAGGCAGGTGTTGTTTACATAATGAGATTCGATTCCTACTCATTACAATATTATTGTCCAATCTAAACCATTCTCGATTCATGTATTTGTAAGAGATCGATTATCAGTCATGTAAAAAGCTGAGATTGGTAATTGTGATGTATAGATAATTAATAAGTATAGTCTATATAAGAGTTATAACACACACTAAATATAATAATAATAATAATAATAATAATATGATAGTAGAAATATAATAAGAAAAATTATAGTAGATAGTATTTCTTAAAATCTATTGATATTAATAGTTCAATAATGAATATAATTATTATGCGTTCAGTTTTAAATGATTTAAATAGTAATATATTATAATTATAAAAATTGTTTTCATAAAAAAAAAAATAGTCTTGTAATTAAAATGATAAAAATCACAAATAAATAAAATTCACACTCATTGTAATACAATATTACAATACTAATAAGATGTGAAGTCTTTGGTTACAATAATAAAATTTTGAATATAAGGTTCACAATATTTATGGGGTTTAGTATCTTTATGTATAGCAAACATACAAAGAATTTTATGAAATATAATGGGAAAAAAACTATATTCTTAAATATAATCTTTGACAACTAGATCATGGATTTTGTAATGTCTGTAAACTGATAACTGAAAAAAATAATACATATTAATTAAAATATTAAAATAGTATAATTATGTGGACAAGTAAAATATTTGTCAAGATATTTTATTTTATACTATCCAAGAAATATAAAAATATTTAATTGGAATATGAAATTCAAGGAAAAAAAAAAGTTTTGAATGATTGAAATAAGGTAATTACCAAGATATTCAAGTCATCTAGGTAATTTAAATTCCATGATTTAAATGTGGCAGGCTCGTTGGTTGATAATCTAATGAATACACAGCGATTGGAAAATGTTTTATATGTGTTTGCCATTGTGAAGACAGTTGGAAAAATTTCACACCAGTCCATTCGTTTCCATCAATTATAACTAGAGAACAAATGTAAAATTGCATAAGTTGAAAAAAAATTATGTAGCAAACAACTTACTAGTCAGTGGATAGTGTTGAGTTTTTGAAGAGCAAATCAATCTTAAAACGCTGTCGATAATTTGATTTTTGGTATCCATATCCTTTTCTTTTTCTTTCTTTTTACCCAATCGCATTACTACAATTATATGAAGAATATTGGTGAAAACATATTTCTGACAGGCCTGGTTAAAGGCATAGACATAATTTGTACCAGCTATTATATATTATATTTAAAATATGAACCTCCTATTATTATAATGTTTATAATTATAATGAATGTTTCAAATTTTTATCATTGTTATTTTATATTGCATTCATATATTAGGCAAAAAAAGAAATATAGTTACAAGTTGAAAAAAAAGAAAAATAAAAAACAAAGGAACATACTTCCCGTAGCTGACACTATTGTAAATAAGAAGTTGAGATGGTGGAGGGGAAATTTAATGTATATCTGTAATATTTATAATTTAAAAATAAAACATTTTGTAAATTTTCCCCAGTTTCCCTAAGTTTTTCCCATTTTTAATGAAAACTCCTAAGGAAATCAAAACATGACCTCCTTAAAGTACTACCTCAGTCAGATTTCTTTTCAGGAAAAGTGACTTACTTGAAAATCTAATCAAAATTTCTGGTAGAAAAAAAATAAACATTATTATAAAACCAATACTTTCTCCTCTCACAATCTAAACATGTGGATAATGTATGTATATTGTAAAGATAACCATACTTTTTCAGAAAGTTAAATTTATAATATATATATATATATTAAAACAAAAGATACATTAAGATATAATCTTAAGATATCTATCATATCCACTTAAAATATACTGTCAATTTTACTATGGGTACACAATGTAGATGATAAAATTAATTTATAGAAGATCGAATTGTTTACATAAAATAAATATATTTAAAATTGTACAGTAAATTAAAAAAAGGTCAAAATAGATTAAATTGTTTTTTTTTCAACCAAATATAATTTACTTACTTTTTTGTTTTTTCTCCTTAATATAGCTAACAGTAAAAAATGAAAGTGGTTCTTCGTTGGTCAAAAATAATCTTGAGATATGTAAACTCTTAAAACCAGTTTTTAATGAGAACTTGGTATCCATACGCTTGCTGTTTGGTTCATTTCCTCGACTACTGAGATCTTTATTAGCATTTGGAACCAACCAATAATCAAGTTGTAGTTCCAGTGGTTCACATAATTCCCTTTAAAAGAAAAAAGTAATTAGTGTTACTTTCAATAGAGTAAAACAAATAGTTTAGTTTAGTAATTACTAATTACCAGTTGACTTGCTTAGTAGGTGGTGGTAAATATTGCATGCCAATATTTGGTGAATTAGGTGGTGTTGTTTTATCCAAGATTAATTTTCGATCCATAATAACTGAATTTTGATCATCTGTATCGTTAGAATATGTAGTATCACTTGAGCAAATTCTTACGTCCTATATAATACAAAATTAACAAATATATTATTTACATTAAGTGAACCAGGATAACTATAGTTAGTTCAAACTTTTACAAAAATTAAAATTTTAAAAATGAATCATTTAATTTATATCAGGGTTGAATAAATTTAATTTAGATATATTAAACCAATTTAATATATAAATATTATTTACATTGCAATTAGAATAAATTTCCTAACCTAATATCCAAAAAAATATTGTACATTGGAACATAATTTGTATTTGGTATATGATAAGAAAAAGTTACAATAGTAAACAAAAGGTTTAAAATAGTAAATCTATTTATTTTTTTAAAGCTGGAATCAAGGCAGAAAGAGAAATGTATTGTTATTATTATGATTATATTTGATCATGAATGATAAAATAACTTTATATTATGGTTAAGTGAGGTTTAGCACAGAATTGGAATTTTCAACTTTAATTGTTTGTTCTTTAATTGACCATGTGATTTAAAATATAAAATACATTGAAAATTGTTTAAATATATGGAAGTTTCAAATTCAGTATTAAAAATATTTTTTGTTTCAATTTAGTCTATCTCCAATATCACCAAAATAATAATAAAAAAAAAACAGATACTAAATAATCTAAACAAATATTTAAAGTAATTTAACAATATTTGAATTCATCCATTTTACCATGAACATATTATATCACCAAAATAGAACACAATGAGAAAATTAACAAATGTAAGTATTGTAAATTATAGTACAAAAACTATACATAACTTATTATTATAAATATAAGAGTATAGCACATATTGTAATACTAAATATAATTAAAAGTATATCTCTGTCCATTTATTATTATTCCAGCCATCTGATTAGATAATTGTATGATAAAAACATAATAAGATTACACATTAAAATAATTAGTGTGTAAATAAAAATGAATAGCACTAGATAAATTAATAATGATATTAAAAACAATTTAATGGAATTAAATATAAAAATAGTACATAAAATGATAAAATTAATCAAAATTGAAATGTTACAAAATAAAGTAACAAATAGTGACTTTAATTGAGCGCTATTAGACCTATATAATATTATATTTAATATACAAACAAAATTATTATTTATTAATTGCATAATCTGTATTATAATAATTTTTATAAATTTAATATAACAATATAGTTTTGTTTTTACAAAATTGAATATACACTTACATTAACAAATGGAATAAAAATTTGCAAGGCTTCATCATCTGAACTGTAAAGGCAAACATTTAGTTATTAAAAATAATATATCACAATTAAAACTATTTTCTATCCCTTCACTCCAATATTTACCTTCTCTCTTTATATGATAACATGGCTTCAGCTATTTGTAACTGAACTGTGTTTGTGGCTTCCAATAAATAATTTTGAATTTTATTGATAATATCTGATCCATCACCACATTCCAACTGTTCTTTCCAAAAATCCTCTTTGAAAAGAAAAGTTGTTCCATAGTAACTGTCAACTGTACCCAAATATCTTGAAAGTGTATTTATCCCTGCAAATAAATAGTCGGGCATTAATTTTACAAATATGACATTTTAAATATAAAAGGATCATTACCCAATGGTATTATATAAAATTTTATATAATTCATCCAGTCAGGCGGCTTAAATGATAACTGTTCTACGTATTGTCGTAATACATGGTTTACAAAACTATCAGAACCAGCAAGTAAAATCTTCATCTGACTCGGTGGTTTGGGATTGGAGTTACAGCTAAAAACATTAAAATATGTTTTAATATAATTACAATGATATTCAACTATTAATGCAATAAATACAATATATATTGCATAAAAATGTATATAATATGCAGAGTTTAAAAAACCTTAAAGTAACATATATATAAAAAGAGAAACATAGATTTTTTAACCAATCATAAGATTGAAAAAAACACATGAGCAGCAGAGCTCAAAGAGCACTAGAGCACAAATTTTTCCCAAGCTGACTTATTACTGGTATAACATGCCATGTTTCAATGTCAAGACATTTAGTTAAATGCCTATTTCAAGTCAGGAAAATTATAAAAATTAAACATGTATATATTTTTTTAAAGATTAAATATATGTTCTTATTAATTATTTATTCCAACAATATGAAAATATCACTTCCATAGGTTTTTACCTTTGAAAATTACCATATATTATAGTACAAAAACTTTATCTATATATTTATGATTTCAAATAATGGTTTATAAGATAGTAGAGTACCTAAAGACAAATTTATATCCATAAATGAAACTGTAGAAAATTTATTAAATTTCAACGGCCAAGGTTTTGTTAAATGTTCTAATAAATGTCACCAAAAAATTACATGTAAGAAAAAGTAGTAACTAATAACTAACTGAAATATTTAATTATAATAAAACTTTTTATTCATATTTTATATTCGTACCATAGTTACCGAATTACAAGCCTAATTATTAGTTACATATATTTATTTCTAATTTAAATGTCAAAACAATAGTACCTAAGGATACAAAATTAAAAATATTTCATATACCTATATATTTTACATATTATTAAATTATGTATAATTTTTATATAGAATAGCAATAAATAAATAATAAAAAAATATAGTTAAATTTTCATTATTCGCCTGATTTGAATTAGGTATTTAGCTAGATATCTAGGCATTTAACCAAATGTATAGATGGATAGTAAAATCTCACAAAAATAATATTCTTCGACTATATGCCTGACATATATATTTATCAAATAATATAATAATTATAAATGGACTATGTTAACATAAATCAATTTATGTTATTTCAAATAATAATTAAAAACTTATATAGCTCCATATTATACTTTAGCCATTGGCAAAGTAGTTAATACACTTTATAAAGGTAGGCAAGTTTAATCAATTGTTTTTTATGGCTTTCTTTCTTTTTTCCAAGTAAATTAAATGAGGTGTTAACAATAACTCACATGAAAAATGTAAATATATTATAAAAATTAGGATATTGCATCAATAAAATAATCAATATATTGGAAACAATATTTGACTTGAACTGTTACAGAACATGTATGGTAGACATCAAGACACCAAATAATCATTGTAAATCCACTTGGTGTAATATTGTATAGTTCTACTTTATTTGACATTTTAAATACCATCACTGTCACTTTAGTTCATAATTGTATACTTTTTTTTTTTGCTATCGCATGTACATGCTAATTTATAGTACTAATAATAATTAGCAAATTGGTGACCAGGAAAGTAAAATATTTGTTTTCTTTCTGAGGTTAGTTATTAAATTGACATAAGTTGTTGAATTTTAAATCAAAATATTAAAAATGTATTCTTCACTAAGGTTATTAAGATTCACTAAGGATATTGTAAACAATATCCAAAATATATTTATATTTTCCTGTCTGAAAAGCACTTAATATTAATGACCAGAAATATTTCCAGACTATAAAGTCATAATTTGCAATTTTAATCCATTAAAACAAACTTGGTGAATAAAGATTACATTATCAGTAGGTAATCCAAAATCAAAATCTAGAATTTATAATCTTAAATATCAATTACAAACAATTAGCAGCATTTACACTGGGGTAAGAGAATCTTAAATTAAAACTTATCAGATGTCCTATATTTTACAAACAAATAAGTATGTGCCTATGAAATCCAGTTTTTGTTACTTACTATTTTTGTATCTTATTAACAATAACTACAAAAGTTGCACGAACATCAGCTAATCCAGCTGGTGTAATAACTTTAAATTGATAATTCTGAAGTTTTCCTGCAAGCTGTATACCTAATGGATCAGCATAGTGTATTAAACATAATACTTCCGGCATTTTGTCTTCTGGTGGCATAACTTTAGACAATTGTTCCATCAATGCTTTCCTGGGCTATAAGCACAGCATAATACAAATTATTAAAATCCACCACATAGAAAAATGGTACATAATATAAGTTTTTGCAACATAACCAAATTTGTTTAGTTTTAATATTTATATAATATGTTTTATTTCACTAAAAAATTGATAAAAATGTATTACTACCTACTTTTCCCCACTAATGCACTAAACAATGTATTATTTTGTAGTGAAACATATTAGAAAAGAAAGCCTTGTAAAACTATAGATACTCTTGTTAAACAAATTGTATGGATACTGTAATGTAGAGAGACTACATAAATAGATTTATCCTATCTCTTTATCCTGATGGTTTTATTCATTGATATATATGTGATTGTAACTTAAATTACAGTTATAAATATATTAAGTAGTATATTTTAAACCATGATTATTATCTGATAATGACAAAATATTGTTAAGAACTACAATAATTTCAGAGTATGTTGAACATTTGCCTAGCATAAGAAAACAAATGTAAGAACACTGTCGAGATTAATTCATAATTAACATTATGTCACGAAATACCTCGGCCATGGAGCTAACATTTTCTGCCAAAAACAAATTTCCCGTACCGCCCGTGTTTGAGCGATTATGATCGTTATCATTAGATTGCTTTGCAGGCGTCGAAGACTTCTTATATTTGTTTGACGATGAAGTACGGTCTCTTTGGAAAATTCTAGACTTCTTTTCCTTTTCCACGACACCAGCCGTTTCCTGTAAAAACAAATCCATTAGTCTATCTATTAATATCGACGTTTTTATTTGTTTCTGTAACGCGATCACGTTCCGTTTGAAAAATGACAAAACAAAAATACCTTTTTGTCGTCGTGATTCCCGGTCTTCGGGGGTGAATAGTTCATTGGCGTGGGATCGCTATCAGTCCATGTATCCAAATACGAATCCGAATCTGCCTTCTTAGAGCTTTCGTCGCTAAATCGTTCAATGTTACGTTCTATAGTCGGCACACCTATTATAAACGTAATTTTATTTTTATTTTCAGTTTTTTTTTTTTTGTCAAAATTTCGAGTTTTTACAAGCATAATGATTTTCCCCAGCCAAATTATAATATATATTTGTAATAACTAAAAAATATATTCAATTTTTAATTTGTAAAAAAAAAAATAGGTGGGTAAATATAAATATATATAGAATAAAAAGTCTATTAAAATTATTAAGTCAAAACACGATAAAAATAAATTATACGCGAAAAAAACGAGTTGGTAGACATGCAATACAAAATAATTATAAGTTAGATGCAAACACCGTTTTTATATAATATATATGTATAAGAGTCCATAATATTACATAATAATCGTATAAAATATATTTTAATGTTCCGAAAAATGTCGAATGATTTTGCCCTAGCTTATTACTATTATCATTACTTTTTTTATATATATATATTTATCTAATATATAAAAATAAATAACAAAAAAAAAATGTTTAAAAAAAATACGTGTTGTTTCGAATTGTTATACAGTCTCAGACGTAAAAAGTAAAAACTATAATAATAATAATAACAACAATAACAACAATAATAATATACAACCGGCGAGTCACATTTCAATAACGTATTATACAGATATATTTTTACGTAACTCTGTATAGCTATGTATACGCGTGAAGTTGTTCAGCACGTTTATTACATAGCCTTCTATAAATTATTTATAATAATTATTATCACAAATATGATAATATAGGCGCCAGTAATACGTTGAATTGCATTGAATAATACGCACGTAGGTTGGTATACTATATTATTGCGTGCATCGATTTCCCAACGTGGGACGAGAGATTTCCATTTGATCGGTTTCCATTATATGCAATTACGCCTAAACGGATATGATTTGAATAGGTAAATGTGGAAAAGACACGAACCAAAATTGTTCAAAAAAATACAAGAATACCTATTCGTTATCTATGGGGGGGGAGGAAGCTGTCCCAGGATAATTAGGACGGATACAACCACTGTTATAGGTAATTTAATGTATAACTGTGAGCAGCGATAAACCAACTAACAAAAAGATAACTCTGAGTGAATATTTCAGTCGATAGTAATGATTTGTCAACAATATATATGTCGTGTTATTGTGAAATAATTAAATAGGCATTATTTATTTTCTTTAATAATATTTGTTTATTGTACCGATTTTCCCATTTTCCCTACTTTTTCCCGGTTTTCCCATGTTTTTTTCCTATTTGTTCACATTTGCTGGGAAAACACTTGAGAAAATTGAAAAATGACCTTCACAAAGTACTTCTTCACACTTTTTAGAAAAGGTGCTACACTTATAATTCGGAGCAAGATCTTTAGCAGAAAAGTTGTCCATAGAATAAAAAAAATAAATAAATAAACATCTTTTAAAACCATAAACTCCACTCAGAATCTAAAATCGAAAAACAAATTTCGTATTAATAACTAATATTGTATAGTAATAATTTCTAAAGCTGGATATAATTATCGTCTAATAAGCGTCTACAGCGATTTCGTTTAAATCTTTTGGGTGTTTAAAGAGTTTTTTTGTTGTCTTCCATAAAAAAAATGTTTAATCCGGACGTGTAAACTTTGCATATATTTATAGAGATTCGTATATTTTATCCTATCGCTCGATCTGAATATTTGTTCGTTTCGTTTCTACATCGCTTTTTTTTTTTTTTTTTTAATTCTCCGAAGCCAGACTAAATGACGAAACGACTCGTGTCGCACACGGTCAGTGTACGCGTATTGTATTGTTAATATTCCCGGCTCGGCTGATGTATAGAATAAATAATTTCCTTTTTTTTTTCCGTTTCGTTTCTTTTTCAGTAATATTATTCAACGTTTATCGGTGGGGCCGGACTATTATGGTCACGCGTGGGTCGCGTATCGAACTTGTGCGCACACGCGTGGTGTATGTGCGTGCGGGCGTGGGCGTGCGCCTGTAGACGGTTTCGCTTTTTTTTTATACATATATCCGTTTTTTACGTCCGCATCATTCGCTTCGTCCGGGCAGGTCATCGTGCCCGGGAACGGTAGTAAAATATTCGAATATTTAAAAGCCACCGCCGTCGTCAGTCGGTATTATAGTATTACCAGCTGGTATATCCAGCTCGTATAGGGTATATAGTGTATATTATTATTCCGGTGATTTTGCGTTGTCTATAACCAAAATCCGTACTCCGCATATACATAACAATATACGCTGGAGAGGGTAAAGGGAGGGGGGAAAAGCCGACGAATAAAATATATACCGCGAGAGAAACAAGTAAAAAGCCGTCGAGGGTGAATTCCCGCCTAACAGACTTATCGACCTAACCGAAATAAATTTAATGAATGTCAATCGCATTTATAGGGTAGGTAGTTATATTATACTGCAGTCACACGGTAGGTAGGTATATTATACTGCAGTCACACGGTAGGTAGGTAGGTAACCAAGGAAACTAGAAATCAATAAGAGAAAAACTCGAAATCGTCCGAAATTCAGAGGAAAATATTCAAAGGGACCGTACGGTCGGGGAATCATTATAATTGAACGGAATAATATTTCTGGCGAAAACATAATATGCTACGGGGAATATTAAACGAGAAAATGAAATACATAAATCGTATTTTTTGAAAACTGTATTTCTTATTAGAATAAATACAACTATTATTAAGGTCTATTCTAACAAATATCACCTAAACCGTACTTTTTGGGAACAATATTTTTCTTATCAGGATAAAATACAATTATTATAATTATTAGACTACTTTATCATATTTTAATCATGTCTTATTTTGCAGTCAGTCAGTATAAATTGTCTAAGTACCTGTATAAAATAGCCCCCTTATAACTGAGGGACAACTATAATAAGATTAAGGTTATCAGAAGGTTGTTATATGACGCCTAAAAAAGTTTGAAAAAGCCATTTGATTTATTATAATAATATAATCAATATTGATAGATCATAAACCTATAATGCAGCGTTTTTTCAAACTGTGGGTCGTGACCCACTGGTGAGTCCCTAGTTAATTTTTGGTGGGTCGCGAAAATTGTTTTGAATTATATAGAATCCAAGAAATTTATGTTTTTAGATTCTGAGCGGGGAAAATAATGTATTTACAATAATGTTTTTTTTTTATTATTATAATTATTATTTGATTTATCTGTGGACAACTTTTCTACCGACAATTTTACTCCCATTTTTAAGTTTAGCACTTTTTCTCAAAGAAAATCTGATTGGAGTGGTACTTTAATGAGGACCTTTTTTGATTTTTCCCGGCTATTTTCATAAACTACTTTTTGAAAAGTAAAACAATGTGGGTCGCGATAAATTTCCGAGGAAAATTTGGGTCATTGTTAAAAAAAGATTGAGAACCACAGCAGAATAATTTATAAAACCAATATCAATTTTATAATAATAAAATTCTGGAAAAATATAGGTACGCTATCGGTCATTTTATTTTCTTGTTTAATATTTCTCGGTAATTTGTACGTTCTCCGAATAATTATTTCGAAATTTCTTAATAGTAATTAGTATCCCCCTCCTTAAAAAAATAAAAAAATATTTGATGCTCTTTAAACAACATTTTTGCCTGGACGAAACGTTGTAAAACGTTGCTAAATGAAAATAAATCGGTACACGTTAATTGCACGGAATCAAACTGCAATCCCGTAAAATTTCGGCAAATATGTTGGAATGCACCTTGATTGTCGTTTAAACTGAAAACATCACGTCCGTCAGAAAAAAATACAGATTAAAGTAAACAATTTATAAGCTCGATTGGTTAGTTGGACCCCAATCCGAGTGAACTGTGGAAAACAAACGCGTACTATATGTAGCACTGTAGCCATTATAAAACCGATTTGGACCATGAAATATTCAAATGTGGGATCATACCAGTAAATCTAACATACCTAGATTTGAGAAAAACGACGTAATTCATCGCGATGTTGCCTGCGATAGCAGACGAAATCCAAGGAGTTTACGAGGTTTGTTCGCAAACACGAGACGATGCTAGATAAACATGTCAATCCAATAATGGCCATCCAACTATTAGACAACTATACAAGGACATTGTACGTCAAAAGCATCTGAAACCATACTACTTATTTTTCAGAATTTAGATTAAGAGCAGGCGCTACTTCATCGAAAAAGCGAATTCATCAACGGATAAAATATATATTAGCAACTATAGTATGGTAAGATAAAACGCACTGTTAAACATACTTATATAGGCATTTAGGTCGTTTAAATAATAAAGCCCTACAGGATATTAAAAAAATATATATATATATTGTATTATTCTATCGTCAAATTAAATGAATTTCTAAAGAAATATTATACTGAAAAACATTTTCCCGAATCCGATACGCGCTACCCGACATTAAAGCGTGACTAATATTTCTCTACGACGTTCGATCTAGGAAAATGGTTATACAGTTTGACCATGAAAGTTCACAGAGCTTATTAGTTTACTGGGTGCAAAATATTTTTGGGAGGTCAATCAAAACCGTACGGGGCTTCGCCCTCCACACCACCTAACAATCTATACATTTACAATTTGCATTTACTAATGATCAGTATATTAAAACAACATATGTTTAAAATACGTTTACATACGACTACATTTGTTTACCAGTTCTAAATACGTTAATAGTGGGTGTGCCACTGTTGTAGGTGGGAAGTTAGAAAGATAGGATTATACATCAAGTTAAATAATTTATATTTATAAGCAATGATAAATCGTTGGTAACGAAAATCGAATTCGGAGCGAAGTTCGGTTATATTACGATTTTCGTCAATATTTGATACTTAAATTCTTAAAAAAAAAAAAAAAACTAAATTACATTACTCAATTTTTTTTAGTTGACCCGTTGAATTTTCAATTATTTCTGTTTAGTCTAACTATTTCATCACCAGAGTACCTACCGAATAAAAATTACTTTATTTAAAATAAATTTTAAAAATTTAAAAATTTAAATATCTATAAATAGTAAAAATGGCTCAGTTTTGAACATATTACCACGTCTAGAAAAGGCCATTATAAATTATCTGTCCAAATTTCAAGTTTCTACGAATATTTTTAACTGAATTACTACAAAAAAACAAATTGAAAATAATAAAAGCATTATATTTTCGTACATTTTCCATTTCTAACTACGTTTTTTTTTTCTTTCGGTTTTGATCATTTATTAAAAAAACCACAGATAAAATCAAAAAAAAACGACTTTCTTAATCACCAACTAGATTAAAAATGCAACAACAATAATCTCTTTTCATTTTTTTATTGGAGCAATAATTCTGGTAGAAAACATAAGGCGTACAAATTAAAAATAATGAAATCATTACTATTCGTCCGTTTATCCCTACGTTTTTTTCAAATTATCATAAAAACCGCTCGGAAAATCAAAAAAATGACCTCTTTAAATTACCAACTAGATAAAATTTTCTTTCAGAAAAGGTGCTACACCATGATACATCGGCATAAGATTTCTGGTAGACGTTTTTTACTCGGTATAAAAAAATAAAGACATAAACATAAAGATGTTAAAAAAAAGGTAAAACCATTGCATTTCCTCGCTCCGAATTTAAAATAAATGTTATATAAATATAAATGTATCGGTTACATTTATTTATCCATCGAAAACCGTCTAGAACTCGATCTGGAAATTATCAATATTTTTTATTAATTTACTGTCCAATATTAATGCTTTGTTTTCATATCTTCGTCGGTGAATCAGCCCCAAATAATAAACCAACCCCAAACGACTTGATCCTTCATTAATATTTTGGCCATTATCGTGAAAATAAATTAACAAAGTAGGAGTATTTATAATTAATTTTATTTATGGGAAAAGTTAAAATTATTAAAAGGTGTTGCAAATGACCACCCTCCCAACCCGGGCGGTTCCTGGGTTTGACGGACGCGCTGCGAGAACCGCCGCTATAAAAGCTAATCATTTTGGGATTATAATTATTCGATGTTTTGCTTTACGCTGAATATTCCGCACTTTTCGAATGGATCAGATATGCTTTTCGAAATTTCGTTTTCCACGTAGCAATTTTGCACAAAGTGATCAACAATACGTCGTCAAAGACACTCTTTATTTCGGAGAGTACGTATTATTATAATATCTAGTTTTCGGAAAATTCGAGAAACGATACGCTTTAAAATGTCGCCGTTGTTTTTTGTCGACCTTATTTAACGGGGTCAAATGCCCACTTTTGATTTTCGAACAGCGACTTGTATCGAAAACTCAGTATTAATATGGATTTTCAGTTTGGATATTATGTAGGTGTTTAAACCTGAACTGTAGGTACATAACGCACGTAAAGTAAAATAAGGGCGTGACAGAAATTAAAGGGCAATGCATAACGTATCGCCGCAGAGCCGCTCGTTTGGACCGAACGTTCCGAAAATGTTAACGCGCCCGGAGCGACGACGGTGACGACCGCGTCTCGCGCGGGCCCGGCGCGCCGGTCTGCCCCCCGCACTCGAACACGCCCTCGAGTGCCTGTTTTCGCCGCGTATCGCCTAATGCGCCTGCACACGCGTGTACGTATACGGCGACCGGCCGGTCGTGACGGCGGCGTGACGGCCGCGGATAACGGCGACGGTAAATCAAACTTTGGCGCGGTCGCCGTAATCGCGGTAACGCGATGCGAGCGGGCCATAATATATACTCGTGTATTGTACGACGCAGGTAACGTCGTCGCGCGGACGCGGCGGAGCGTGGTGCGCAAATACGGCGTGGCGTAGGATATCGGCGAGTGCGCGATCGAGGGGCGGCTCAATGGATATACCCCGCGGGCCGGAGGGTAATTCCTTTCCCTCCGCCGCCGAAAACCACCCCTCCCCCCCACCCACCCGCCGGTTACCCCCGGGATATCTACTATACATATATATATATATATACACACGCGACCGTGTTGCCACCGCGTAACGGTCGCGCGACCCCCCTCCCCCCAAATAGGAATATCGCCTGACGTAAAATTAGCCCGCCCGCCGCCGTCGCGGTTCACACGATCGCGATTGCGCCGCGTGACAAATAAATAAGCGGTATACCTATACAATAATATACGCGCGCGTTCATTGTATACGTGTTTTGTTGTAAAAATAACCGCAGACTTGGGGTCGCCGACTTGAAGCGCGCACGTGATAATATCGGATCGGGTCCGTGCGTTTTTGTTTTTTTTTTTTTTTTCGCCGCTTTGTTTTTCCGTTGTTTTTTGCGTGAAAGTAATCCGTTATTAGGTATGCGCGCATAGGTATACGTAGGCGCCGCGGACGCACGAACGCGATTTACAAACTAACGGGCGAAATGACAATTTCCCGGGGGTATTTTTAATTATTGTCGATTCGTATATTTTATACGCGTTATTATTATTACGCGCAGGCGATTTTGAAATTGCCCGTTATATTTTTTTTTTCCACGGCGAAAAAACGACCAACAAAAAAAGGGGAAAAAATATCTTCCTTATCCGTCGTACAGAAAAAAAATAAAATATAGGTACCTAATCATTCGGAACAAACGCGTTCTGACGAAAAAAAAAAATGAATAATAAAAAAAAAACGGTACAACACGCAACAACGACGGCTGCGGGAGCGTAGGAGGCCGTTTCGCATAATATAACTGCGGGAAAATGTATAAAATATTATACGCGTCCCACTCGTCCAAAACAAATTACCGATTACGCCACCGGATTTCTCCGACGATGAACTACCGCAAATATTACATATAATGGGTAAACCGTGGTCCCAGAAGTCCCGTGCAGTTTTTATATACGGTGTTTTCGGCTATATTTTGCGAGAATATTCCAATTTAATAGCGTACATTCGAAAAAAAAAAGTATACGAGCAAACGAACTGGAAATACGGACGCACACGTGTCCGCAAACACGGCTTCTGCAGAGACGGCAGAAATATTTTATTATTATTAATATTATTTTGTTCGAAATGACATTCTCCGTTAAAAACGTCCAGCAGCTATATTATAGAGTGCCGCAGATACAGAAAATAGTCCCGTGGCGCGTTTGCGTTTGACACTTACGCTAATTGAAATTTAAAAAAAAAAAACAAAAAAAAAAAACGTATCGTAAATTCGTTTTCACAGTACACCTACCTATACATAGTAGGAAACGATATTGTCTGTGCACCTAATATAATTGTGTGTCATTCCGAGCGGAATTGTTATTACGAGACGACGTAGGTACCGTCCCGATAAAAACAATGTTATAAGTGTAACATAATATAAAACGTCAGTAAGTAATTGTTTTTCGCTCTTGTGCTCGAGACGCAACATTCGAATATTAACGTTGTCGAGATGGAAAATTACAAAAACAACGGCGAAATTGTCTTTTGTGCGGACCGTAAAAAAAAAAAAAAGAATCAAGTTTTTCCGCCAAATCGATACGCCCGGGAGTAATATAATATACCGTCTTATAACGAAAATAATATTGTGTACCCGGTATTTGTCTGTCGCCGACAACGGTACGCACGCACAGTACCTATACAGCATAATAATATTTTATATTACAAATTTTACGGTTTGTCCGTAAGGCGCATGTATTGGACAATGCGAAATTGGTTTTAGCTCGAACCGGAGTATACACGGACGCCTGCCGTCGAAACGACAACAAAAAGAAAACTAAAACAAATAAAAATATCCGAGAATTCCACCGACCTGTAAATCCTTGAGCAAATACGTACCTACGTCGCGTCTCTGCGGGAAGGAAATTAAATACCCACCTATATTATTATACTTCCGTCGACCAATCTCTACGTAAAGCATTTCCGAGGTCGAGTCCGTATAGTATTCAGTCGTTTCGGAACAACGGCGAGCACCGCGGGATACCTATATAACCGTGGTTAGCCGAAACTTTGAAATTATTATTATCGTTATTACTTTTTGTCTAAATGACATCCGCGTCATCGTATTAACCCAAATCCGAGTTAAGAAAGGCCGAGCACTTAGGCAATTTCCGGATGATATTATATGTAATACAAAAGCAGCCCACGACTTATAATACGGGAAGCCGCACATGGTTACACCGAATATCATAGCGAAACTCGTTAAATCGAAATGACGAAAAGCGTAATTATTTAAAGTGAAATTTCGAAACAATCTCAAAATCCACGCAGAGACATTTTGTAATATTCTGTAATAACATTGGGAGGGATAAGGGGTGGAATCGCCCCCCCTTTCCCAAGAAAGGTGGACCTTCATTGGCATTTGGCATTTAGCATATTTGACAATGGCCTAGAAATAGGTATAATCAATAAATTAATTGACATTATTTTTTTTTTTCTTATCAATAAAAGATCTTAACCGAAATCATAAACATATTATATTCACGGCACAATTACAGATATAACCATAACGTACACAACCGCGGTGATTCGTGGTCATATATAAACCAGGTTGAGCTTAGACCGGTTATCTCCTTGAGATAACAATTAAGAATGATATGATTGACGATATATTGACGAATAATGAACGAGAGCAAACGGAAAAACAGTGGTTCGATTACATTGTGGCTAGAGAAACGATTGGTTAAAGACTTATTGGTGACCCAACAAAATATCTCCGGTAAAAACATTTTCTTAAAAATATTACTTTAATATTTAACAGATTAATAAAGTTGAAATTTTATTAAATAAAATACAATGTATACTGTTTGTGATACTATCGATCATTATGAGTTATTTTCGCAGTTATTTTCGGTGTCTACTATATAGGCAACTGACAGAAATAATGATAATAATAATTGTACTAAGTACTTCCGTCTATCATGGAACTAACCAATACAAATAATTTATTTCGATCATAATCGATAAAAGTTCAGACAAGAGATGATTGAATGTAAAATAATATTTTTTTTTATATGCATATGTTTATTTAATTAATTTCCTTAATTAAATAAAACCTCTTTGGTTGGGGGACAGTGGAAATATTTCTTTTTCTTTTTTTGATATTGAAGATAATTTGACGGAGATATTTTGACGTAAAACCTTTTATATTACAGGAAATTAAAAAAAAAAAATGTTTATACAATACTATATACTATGATGATTTGTTTTTAATGATGTAACCTATTTGTAACACAATTGTGTTTTGAGGGATGGGGTTCTAAATTCTAAAAGATGAAAAATATCGTAATATTGTGTACATTAATATTATTGTTTTGATTGTTTCTCTTTCCCCTCATAGCCAAGGTCTAGAGGCATCACTGCGACTCTTTCCACAACATTGCAAAATTCATATTGAAATTCAACTTAATTTTTATCACTTTAACGCACCTATAAAACAACTTTAGTTCCCAAGATTGAGATCATTTAATCTGATGGAACAGCTTAAAGTCTACAAATGTAGCGGGAAAAAGATATTCAAAGATGAAAGATTTACATTTAGTAAACATTTTTTAAGAAACAAAATTACTTAATAACGAAAAAAATCCCAAAAAGTTGAAAAACAAATTTTATATAAATAACCAATATTATGTATTAGATATTATCAATAAGTTTGTACAGTAATTTTATGAAATATTATAAATCTTTGTGCTTAAGAAGTTACCTTCTATGTTGCCTTCTAAGTTTGCCTTTCTTGAAAAATTAAAAAATTTGAACATGTGCCTTTTCTGCATTTTTGATACACATAATATTATAATGGACATTTCAGACTGCAATAGTCTGTATTTTCTATGAAAATTTGACTGAAAATTCAACGCGATAACGATCAAATGTTTGACATAAAATAGCGTCCACACTGACAATTTACCATATACTATAAAATAGAAACGAATTTTTGGAGATTTTGATTTACCAAGCAAGCGTTTCGATCTACGGACCACTAGAGAGTTCATATCGTTAGGTATGTTAAGGAAAATCATGCGGCGGCGGCGGTGGCGCACGCTATTAAGTAAATTACATTTGTGCCACTTGTGTCATATCGATCGGGTTGAATGACGGAACTGTAATCGTATAGGTTATATAAGTAGGTAGGTACAAACGCCAAGAGTTTATAATATAATATAGGTAGTTGGGAGAGTCAAAATTAAATATTAAACGGAAATTCGCCCGGCTGATGGCAGCGAGACGAAGATCCCGAGTAAAAGCAGTCCAATATAATAATGTATAGGTACTATATACGTAAACCGGGAGGCATATAAACATTCTGGTATCCGATTCAGCACCTAAGTATTCTCTGTTTGTAATCGTTGCATGTGCGATAATGTTTTATTGTATTGCTCTTCTGGTTAGGGATATCGATACATTTACAAAATAACTGATGGTGGCAGTGGCGTACCCAGGCATTTCTTAGAGGGAGGTAAAATATACTGGGCTTTTTTTATATTTGTAAAATATAACATTTTCATACATATGTAAAATAAGAAATTTTTATTTAATCAAATATAATATTAAAATATAGGTAATATGTTATAAATGTGTAATACAAATGATATCATCCACTGGTATAACTATTTCTTGGCAAATATGCAACAGTGCAAGCCCGCATAAGCGATCCTGGCCCATTTATTTAGTAACTAGAAATCAATGATAAGAAAAAACGGTCGAACCGCTGAAATGATAACACCAGAAACCTTGACCCGGTTCGACCATAGATAACGAAAATATTTTAATATTTATACATTTTTTAAAATGTATTTTATGAAAAAAAAAATTAAAAATACTAATAACAAATAACAGTTCACATATATAATTATAAGATCCATGAGGGGCGAATGCTCCTCTCACATCCCACAGGTACGCCACTGATTAGTGGACCAATACTACACTCAAAAACCAGCTATTTTATCGAGCTCGATACTGACAATCGCAAAACAAATTGTTTACGATTTTTTTTTTTCGTAGTTTTTCTCATGTGACCCACCTAACATAATTTTCCATTTCCATAATAAACCTAGGATTGTTTTTGACACGAGTTCAGTAATGGAGGTGACCAAAAGCCCTAAATCCACGAGCGTCTCGAGGGCAAAATTGCGCGACCAATCAGAAGCGTTCACATTTGTTATCATAATTTGTAAAAATCACATTTCTTATCATCCTTTATAAAAATTATAATGTGATATAATAATCATCAATTATACAAGTGTTTCATACACATACAAGTGTTATACTTAATATATTTTAATTATAACATACAAAATATATAATTATATGGAAGAGTTTGGAACCAGTAACATAGAAGAGCTAATGTGAATGGTGTCTAATACATTTTAGTTATAAAAGAACCTTAAAGCGACATCTAATTACTTATGGATCTAAGGAATTAAAAAATATTAATAGTGTGAAATATCCCCATTTATCTTATAATAAGTCATTTACAAACAAACAAATGTTAAAATCGCATATAGTGGCAGACCATAGAGTTACAAAATGAACAAAAAACATTTGCAAAATAGTGATGACAAATTTAACGCTTCTGATTGGTCGCACAATTTTGCCCCCGAGACGCTCATCAGAATCCACGGTCACATGATGATAGTAAATCGTAATAGTTGCTATCAAGATAGCTGTTATCATGCGAGTTGTGCTATACTATCATACTATCCGGCATGCGTTTTATCGTTATAATGATAATATTATCATAATGTGAACAACAAATGCTTGTATTTTTCATTACTACATACGTATGAATGAGCGTTAAATCGTTTGGTTCGAACGTATTACCATAGATACAATAGAATATAAATTAATTTCCCTCGTTAAAACGGCGATATCACAGTAATACCGAAAGTAAACTATTATAATATTACGCGATTATGATGTCAACTATCACACGATTAATTATCATGGTGCGACCTCAAGTTTTGACGAAATCGACGTCAAAGACGGAGCAATTCGAAATCAATAACAGCATCATAACATGATACTATCGTGGTAAATTTGTATCGGCCGCCGCCAACCAGAGAATTGCCCGGTGCCAGAAACGGATCCCAGAATGCTAATATGCAACCGGGAGACGCGCGGCGGAATTTTATACCGTCGAACGAAATCAATACCATAAATGTATATTATACACACACACACACACACACACACATACACGATAAAATGTAAATATATATATGTATAGTATATATTAAATATTATAGTATGTAGGTATAATATTATATATAAACGACTGGGCTGTGCGAGCAGCAATATTCTCGAAAGGAATATATTTTTATTTTTTTGTATTATTTGAAAATATTAACTTCCAGCCCGACGAATCCGATATCCGAATAATAATAATAATAATCGTGATAATAATTTCCGCGTCGGTAATTTTATATTTTTTCGCAATCGGATTATTATTATTATTATTATTATTATTATTATTATTATTATTATTATTGTTACTCTGGGGAAATGCGATCCCGCCGCAGTATACAGACTACACGAGTATTACGACTTTTGGGTCGAGAATTCCGAATTAAAAACGGTCGGTTCGCCGTATCGTCAAACTTTATATTAAAAATAAAATTACGAAAAAACAAAAACAAAAAAAAAAAAAATCCAAACAAAAAAATCAAATTATACGAGGATATTTGACCAACAACGACGCGTGCAATCCGCAAAACGCAGTCTACACATATAATACACTTAATAATAATTAAAATGTACAAATCACACAACGGGTTCACTCATACTATAAATGCGCAAATGTGTGTGTATGTGTGTGTGTGTGTGTTTGTGTGTGTGTGCGTGCACGCGTGCGATCGAGTAATATTATAATATATTTATATACGATGCACATGCAATTTAAAAAAATAATATAATATCCGCCAATGATTATTAAAACATGCATAATATTATTATTATTATTATTATTATTATTATTATATAGTGTACAATGATGATGTATATAATGGTAGTGGTATATTATTATGAAAGTTTTGTTAAACAAAAGAAAATGATAGGTAGGTAATATCGTGTTTATTATATTATATTATTATTATTACACACGAATATTAAATAAGAACAAAAAAAAAAATGAAAAAATAAAAAAATGAGGAATCATTTCATCACGATTGAAATATTGCAGTCTTACACAGTGTATTATTATAGATAGGTATAATATTATATAGATAGATTTATTATATTATAAAGTTGTTAGTGATATTATTATTATTGTTATTAAACGTGGCATGATGTGTGCATTTGGGCGTAAAGAAAAATACAACAAATTAAGATACTTTGTGCTTATATAGGTATAACTGCATTTCGATCGGGAATTTTTCATAGTGAGTGTGTGCTTAATACCTTTGGTTCTGTTGTAGGGCGGAAAACTCGTGGTGTGACTTTTCTTATGGGAATGCCGTCCTAAGTGACACAAAGTGTGAACAAAATATTATTATTATAAATAATTTAAATGTGAACATTAACGGTTTTTTTTTCAAACAATATTTCGGATATTATAATATAATATGCATAGTCTATTATCGTGTTACAATAAGAATAACATGTAGGTATCTATACTTAAGCAATATACGAGTATACAGTGTAGTAGTTATTAGCGATGGACTTAATGTGATGTGCATATTATCTTATAATATAAAATATGAAATATTTAGGGGAGTGGATGGGAAGATGGTAACCCCCACCCCCCGAAGTACACAGCTTCTATAATATTAATGGGTTTATATGATTAAGGTAGACTTGACCGATTAAACTGTCTTATTTTCCAAAAAAACCAAGTCGTAATCAAGTAAATACGACAATATTACAGGTAATCTATATTTAAAATATTACATTCACAGCCGAATAACGTAAACAGTATAAATAAAAATGATAATGACGTAGCCAAGATTTGTAAAGAGAGGAGTATACAAATCATATGGAATTCAATTTGTATTATTTGCACTAAGCCCCTTGACCCCTACAGCTACTGACAAACTGTTAGCGTTCATATAATAATAAATAATTAATAAACGGCAGCATGCGTGAGAGTACTTCAATTTTGTACGCGTATTTTCTCGGTAAATCAAGGGATGATTGAACAAAAATAACTAAAGATAACCCGATAAATAGCTAAACACAATCAAACTTTTAGGAAATCCATCATAGAGGCAAATCTTTCAAAAAGTTTTTCTCTCGCGAAACCTTTTTTATATAAATGTTACACTACAGGGTTTTAAAATAAACACCAACCGCCCCCCTCCTATTGTGCTAGGCATATTTCTGCTGAGTAAATAAAAAGTAAAACATATATTATGTATAATCCGATAAGTATTAAAGAATTTATTTTTAATAAAACTAATTTGAGTTTTTAAAATGCCGTTAAAAATACCTCAGTAATAATTTAACCGCTATAAACCGTTCCTCCAAACTTCGAAGTCTGAAACTACAGAGGACGGATAAGTATACGTTAAATAAGAAGGCGACCTACCAACTTTAACCACTGAAAATTAAATCGATTACTGAAAGTTTTTAAATTTGCAATGTAATTATTAAAATTCGTTTTGTTTAAATAGAAAGCAAAAAAAGACCACATACCTACTTATTTAATGGCAAAATTATAAACTGACGGAAATTTTGTTATCAAGTTTTTACCAACGTGATAGATTAGTAGCGCACTGATTTATGGCGGCGGTGGTGACTGATGACGGTTACGTGTACGGAATAAACCGAGTCTCGTATATAACTACCCTCATTATTATAAACGAACAAATGTTTACACGAAAATCTGCACCCGGCGGAACTCGTCATTAATTTCACGATCGTTGCATACGCGATTAATATCGCTTAACGCCAGAACGATATGAAAACAAAACAAATCTATTCTCATTTTCTATAACCGTCTATACACAATAAAATAATATTATGAAATACGTTATACCTAGTGTACAAGTATAGTTAACTTTTACTTAATCATTCGGCTGTGAATATCGTATTCCAAAAATAATAAATATAAGAAATTAGTCAGTAAAGTCCATCGCTATATTATATACTATTTACAAAATTTTAAAAAACAACAACATAATAATTAACCTATATATTATTATTAACCCGTTTAAGGAAAAAAACAAAAATCTATTAGGATAATATATTAATCTAGTAAAATGTATATTATTTAAGTAAAAAATACAAAAAAAATAACTTAACAGAAATATATATTTTGTATTAATAATATATTACATAGATAGTATGAAAAAATATGTAATACCAGTGATGTTGTGTATCCCAAATTCGTGGTATTCGATTTATGTGATAAGTAGGTAGTACGTTTTCTAAACTACAAAACTGTGTTTTTTTTTTTATGTCTGAACGCGTACACAAGAACTGCAGAAGCTTGTTATTTATAAAAGTGGCGTATTTTGAGATGTGCGCATCTGGATACCCTCGGCATTAAAAAAATAAATAAACAGCCCAATGTGATACAAATTTAATAAAACAAAAAAAAAAAAGAACTTTCATTTCATTTTTTTTCCTTTTATTTAGAGTATAGCATTCCGAAAAAACTACTTCCAATGAAGATGGTAACTTAGATTCAAAAGCGAGAAGAACAAAAGTGATTACATTTATTTTACATTTTCAGTTTTTAGAACGGATTGGGGGGAATTAAATTGTCTCTTAAAAGTATACGAAAATTATATTGCGTTTCTATAAAATTACTAGATAGAATTTTTTAATCCAATTCTGTCTACCTACAGTAATATAAATGTATAAAACGATAAACTAATAAACATAAACTCATGTTGCTCGCTCCACATTAAAACTAAATTCACTAAATGTATTCTACAATAAATAAATTTAAAAAATCAAACTATAGATGAGAACATTTCACCTAGATATATATATAACAAATTTAGGGAACCACCCAAATAGATATTCAAAATACGCCACTGTTTATTAGGCAATATTTGTATTATAAGATATTTTTGCTGTCCTTAAACAAGCGCAAATCATAATACATAGTTTGTTGGCAAAGCATACCGCTATTATGGCTTCTTGTACACATTTTGGAAAGTATAAAATTAATTACAAATTAAATTAATCAATAAGATCAATCCAATTATGAAAGTAGTAGGTAAATCTATCATCACTGGCACATAGCCATTAGTAAAATAATATGCATATATACATCGAATTTAGAGCCATCAAACTGAAGGAATCATTCACATGCTAATTTTTCAGAATGGGATCTTAAATACTTAAAACATGTTGTTTAATCAGCAAGGTAAAATTTACCTTATATTTTGTTAAAAAAAATATTATAATAGGTTTTTTTTTAACAAAAATTGATATTCAAGCAGTATCAGTAATATAAATATATATATATATATATATAAATAATATAAATTAATGTATTCAACTGTCTAATGAATGAATTTTAAGTATTGAAATATGTTAAGTACCTCAAAACTAGATGTTTAGAACTAATATTATAATTCAATATTTTTATTTCGCAAAAGGATAATCTTATAATTAGAATTATATATCTATAAGTTTATTTTGTGCTATTTTTCAATAATATACAATTATTTTTTTTACAATTAAATTAAATTATTGTATAAAAAACAATTAAATGTAAAATGGTTTTATTATTATGATACACCCGAAGTCAAAATTGTCTAAATTATAAATTAAAACTTTAATATAGTTAAATAACAAATTTTATATCATTGAATGTTTTTACACATAATATTAAGACATTAATACATTTATTTTTTATTTTATTGCAAAGTAGCTACATATTTAATTCTGAATAGTACTACCTATCATAATATGTATGGTACATTATAACATGGTTAGATTAAATTAATAAATTGACCACTCAGATACCTAAAAGGCTAAAATTAAGTATTAGAAATTAAGAACTTAGAACTATTTTATTTGGTCTATTGTCAAATAAAAAAGTTACAAATAAAATATATTAAAAGTGAAAAATATTGATTTAAAAAAATATTGTTATTATTTAAATAATAACAATTACTATTCAGTAAATAAAAATAATTTTAAATATATAAATTAAAATTTTAAATTATATTTTGAAACTTTAAGACTTATAACATAAAATGACACATCTTGTTTTGAGATACCCTGAATTAAACTTCTAACTACAAACCTGAGAGACCTTCATGTATCATGTTTGTACGAGAACTCGAAAAAAATGGACGAAGCGATGGTTTTGGCGTGGATAGTATTGATAATGTATCTAAGTCAGGCCCAGAATCACTTAAATCTTCGAGTTCTTCAAATAGATCTTCAATGTCAGCTGGATCCATGTCACCTCCTGACAAAAAAACAATTTATATACATATATAATTAAACCAAATGTAGATAAACAAATGTGGGAATACATCAAAATTATAAAATCTAATACCTGACAACTTTTGACTCATTGTGTCTCTACCATTTTCCAATGAATTCAAATCTTCATTGACTCTAAATCTTTTCAGAAGCGCAATAAATTTTTGTTTTAGATTTCTTTGCTGTTGAACAAAACAAAATTATGTGTTATGTTGTAAATAATCAAATATAACAAATAAATTATCATAATATTTACGTTATTCAGTATGATTAATCTATATTATAAATAATAATAACAGTAATAAAACCCTACTCTAGCGTTTCCAGTTGCAATATTTTTTTTGCGTCGCCTATCATCTAAAGTTGGCTCAGAGTCCGATGCTTCTTCTCCACTGCTAAATTCTTCATCTTCATCTGAATATTCATGTCCCCTCCCTACAAAATACATTGTACCTATTTATATATATATTGACAACCATAAATGAATAGTGTTGATTCAAGCTGGATAACATTAACATTAGGCATGCATTTTAGCTAATTGTTTACTTAATTTAACACAATCTGACTGATGTTACAATTATTTCTCCATAACATAAAATACTCAATACTTGTATATTAGGCAAATTTTGTCTATAATCAATCACCTGTTACTTGTTTGGTTGGATCTTCATGATCCACCGGTTGGCTATTTAAACACATGATGTACACACGACCAATAAGAGATTTTGGGTCTTTGAGATCACTAAGCAGTTCTAACTCCAAATCAAGGGGTCTTTGTAGAACCTGAATTAAAGTTAAATATGTTAAACATTTAAACAATATATTATTAATTACACCTATTAACAAGCCCATATAATTACAAGTGACATATTGATTATTCCTTCAGCCAATGTTTTGAAACCAAGAATAGTTCGATTTTTGTATTTCTTTCGGCGCTGAAGCATAACATGTAACTTATTAACATCCCTTTTTAAAAAGTGGGGATACTACAGAACAAACAAACAAACAAAAATGGGTTTCAAATAATATGCATATTTTAACAACTATAAAAAGCAAATACTTGGAGACAGAAATTCAACTGTAATTCAATTTCTAAAGATCCGTTTACAGTCAATGGCAGTTCATTTGTTCGCAAAGTTCTTTTCGATCCCTTAATCATATTATGTTTAAAATTCAGAAAACAAATATTATATAAATATATGATTCAATAAGTTAAAATTGAATAAAGATAATTTTTTTATAATTTGGTTACATATTTTAATTTGTGTGAACTACTCACTTGCATTTTTACAGCTATAGTTAATGATGATGATGACATGTCTGACCCCAGTGGTTTAGTCAATACCAGTTTGGTTAAATTCATGGAACACATTCTAAAACAATAATTGGTATTGTCACATTAAAATATTGTACATACAAATGATAATAAAATAATTTTACAACCTATGAAGTTTTCTTTATTCATATTATATAATATACATTGAATTAATGGATACCAGGATATTATGTACTCTAGTAAGTGTAAAGTGGTTTTATTTTTAGACCTTAAAAATAATCGTCATCGTACAATATTATATAAATAATCAAACAGATCCTTTTGTGAAAATGTTTACTTTGGAATACTTTAATTACGAAACAAACTTGGCGACAACTCATAGATATAAGCAACCACGTATTTTTTTGTTGATATTATTGTACACGGTAAATAAAAAAAACGCATGTATGCGTTCTATGTATAGTATTATAATATTATTGACAAACTATATATGTTAACATATACCTATAATGTTATATTACTCAATTTATGAAATAAATAAATATTTCACAAATACTATTAATATTTAGTAGTTAATTATAAATATAGATATGTACACATTGAATATAAAATTACATGATTTTTCGGACTTTAAGACAATGCGAGTAATAATTATTTCCAATAATAATAATAATAATAATAATAATAATAATAATAATGACCGTTCATGTTTTGAATAAGGAAATACGAACAAAGTCACTCTTGAAATGAATTGAACCAATGTAGAGCGAGGCTAAACTTAAAAAATTAAAAAAAAAATATATAAAAAAAAAAAACGTATAATGCGCCTATTTATTGAAAAATAGCAATTAAAAGTGATTTTTAAGTACCTTTGCTGGGTTAGATTAGGTTAGTGTATTAATGATTTATTACAGTGACTTGGTTTAATACCTGGTAACGAGATTGTATAGTACTTACTGTACTGCTTATACTGTATCACATTAGGCCAAACCCTCCAAAGAGGATTTACAGTACCCAAATGCACTGCAGAAGATTAATATAATATTTAATTTCGTTAGTATCAAAATCGTAATAATTAAAAGACATTGGTATTTATTAATTATAATTATATTATAATTCGCGATGTAGACGCTTGCAAAATAAAAACCGTAGATGCATGTTAGGGAGCTTAGGTAATTCGTTTACAACGATTATGTCAAAATGTTACGGTAAAGTAAATTCGAGATTTAATTTGACACCTATACCTACTGCCGATGACGATATATAGGTAAAGGCCAATCGGAAAATTATGTTAACCCCGATCGAGCACATTTTCGACAACCAATCAAGTGTGAATTTTCGATATGAAGAAACAATTGTGATTGTAACCGTAACACGACGACCGACGAGGAAAACGGGGTGAAAATAAAAGTGTGAAATTTTACTAACACAGGAATAAAAAAAAAGTTAATAATAAAAAATAATTAATGAACGTAGTGTTATTATTTTACCGCTGTTAACTTACCAACACGGGAACGTGGAAAAACTGAATCTAAATAAAAAGGACTCGTTTTGCGCTGAAATTTTCATTTGTATAATAGTGTATAATATTAATATTAAAATTAATCGTGGTCTTTTAGATTCCAAGCGTAGCGAGGGACCATTGATTTTTTAAGATGTTTATTTTTTTTTTCTTCTTCTAGTCTGTGGACAAATTTTTTCCTAGTTAACTTACTCCGATTTTTACGTATAGTAACTTTTTTGAAAGCTCAAGTTGTCTAGATTGTACTTTAAAAAGGTAATATTTTATTTTCGACACCATTTTTTAAATAAATGCACTTAAGTAGGGAAAAACATATAATTTCACGATTTCATTATTTTATAAATACAACGACGTTTTCTACCAGAAAAAATGATTTAATCGAAAAATCACAAAATACCTTTTTTTCTTGCTTTTTTGATTTACTTTCTAACAGTATCATGCTAAAAATGTTGAGCCATTTTTGAACTTTTAAGGAATTTTAATTTTTGGGAAGATTTTTTCTGTAATTCTGTTATAAATACACGTAGAGACTTAAAACTTGGTAATAATACTTATATTAGACATAAACGTGGTAAAATTTCTAAAATCATTGGCCGACTTTTTTTTTTAAATAATCGCTTAGAAATCAAATTTAAACGAAAATCGCAAAAAAAAAATACGGTACTTCAAATTATCTATTACCGAACTGCGCTCGGAATCGTCTTTTGTCGTCAAGCAAAGGTTTATCGTTGATTACAGATATAAATGAAATAACCTTATGTATCCTACCTACCCAACTTCTTACCTACAACAGTGGCCACTCCCATCCCCAGTATCAGCTCTTTTTTTTTTTTATCGGACTGGACGTTTGAGCAAACGTTTCTTTCTAATAGTTGATAATTTGTAGAAAAAAAATTGACGCTTTTACATACATAGAGTTAGTAATTGACAGACAAATAAGAACTAAAAAAAAAAAAATTAACAAATAACAATAAATATAATTAATTTTGAGGGAGAAACACGATTCAATAAAAATACATCATGCACGAATCATAATTATTAAAGTCGTCTATTATATATGATCGATTACCGGAAAGCAAAATAATTTAAATGAAAATAATTTTTGCAAAACGTGTAAAATTATTCAAGAAGAATTTTCAATCGAAAATAATTATTATAATAACGTTTTCCTTTTCACTTTTCACTGAACTCTTTTCGGTGTGTTTAAATATTTTTCTAAACCTATTTCCATATTTACTCCATTTTTTGGGGAGAGGGAAGGAGAAATGTCTTAATGGGCTTATGGTTTGTGATTGATAATTTTTATTTCGAATTATTGTATTCGGAGGTTTTTTTCTTAAGATGATTCGATAACTTAGGTATACCTACACAATTATTTTTACTTTTTAAAATATTACTATAGAAATTAAGTATTTATAAAAACATCGTAAAATGTTTCTACCACCTCTTTCAACCAACAAACGATTTAGATTATTCTTTCAATCGTCATTAATACTTTATTTTACAAAGTGCAGAATTAAATAATAAAATTACACATTTCAAACGATAATTGTAAGTAAAGTATTTAAAGTAGCAATAGATAATACATGACTAAAAATTATCATTGCTTTAGAGTTAAGACTCGAGAGTTGTTTATGGAATATTATTGACTAACAATAATATTATATGATTTTATAGTGTTTGAATAATACTTGTTAATCGTGCATAAGAAAAAAAAAAACTATTAGGTAGCTTTCGAAATTCATAATATTACCGTATTTAAGACAAACTTCATAAAAATAACATGAGTATTTTACTCATTAGTTGATTAATAAGAAGTCAACGATGGCTATAATAATTTGTTAAGAGGACGTTACACATGCATTTGTTACCTGAATCTTGGAAACACACAAATTGGCCTTCAGAAGACCATTTTTGGGCTGTTAGTTTTAATATACGGTTGAATTCGATACACTATCAAACTTAAATGAAAGAACATTATTTATGATTGTACGTTGGTGTTTTTCGTTATTCGAATTTTTAAGCGAAATATATGAGTGTATAAAATACCATAATTATTTAAAAATGCTCTATAATAGGAAAAAATCAGCGTAAAAACATTGGTAATTTTCTAAGTTTGATAATAATTAAAGTTTATTAGTTAATTCTAATATTAAAACTAAAATAATAAAACTGGTTCAGCTGAATTTAAATATTTTGTCAGCATGTCATTTATAAAACAGAGACGACAAACTGCATATTGTATAGTGTTCTCTGAAAACGTTTTTCGTACACAAATTACACAAGGCAATAACATTTCGAATAAAAAAAAAAAAAATTATTATTTTACGTATAAGTAGATATTTTATAGTGCCTTTTATAATCATACCAAAATACTCAACAATAAATTAAAAACCAAAAATAACAATAATATGCACTTAAAAAATCGTTTAACCACAATAACGACAATAATACACATAGATTAAATACGATAATACAAAATAAATTATCATAGGATTTTAAGTAGAAAATATAATTTAAAAGTCATATAGAATATGAATAAATACATTCTAATGATCAAAATATAAAAGTTTTAACGGTAATCTGACGGGGTGGTATTTTAGGGGGTAATTTTTTTGTTTACCCAGAGTTTTTCCTAATAAATGAGAAAATCGGGAAAAAACAGAAAAATTTAGAGTATTATTAGTGTATTAAAGTGTTATTAAAGTGTATTATTTTAGAATCGTAAATATTATAATATTAAATATGTATAACTGAATTCCACTCAGAATTGTTTTTCATTAACAATGATTAATGTTTGCGTACAGATATATATTAAATTCCCCCTCTACCTTCCCAAATTCTCACTTACAACAGTGACCCACCCCACTCATCGTGCGAATTGTATCCGTTTGTTTTTTTTTTATTATACTATAAAAGCTGAGGTAGCGAAGCTATGGCACGCGTAGCACATTGGCTGAATTTCAATGGCACACTAAAAGAAAACAAATGGTATAAACAAAAAAAATATAGGTACTTATATATATTAAATATATATACAATGTATATTGTATATTACACATAATATATGTTTAAAAATTTTAATATAAGAAATTTAAGGAAAATTGTATACATTTTTACATAATGATAAAATTCCTCTAGAAATGAAGATTACTCTTAACACTAAGTAAAGTATATTTTTAAAACCATCAAATTTGTAACATTTTTTTCTGCAATTTTTGTTCAAGACATGAACAAAAAAAATGTCTAATATATAAATCGTATAATTGCAAATTGTTGGCACTTATCTCAAAACAAGGTTTGACACCCTTGTAACTACATAGCAATGCAGTTACAAAAATATAAAATGATGGTCACGTTGGTTTTTTGTTTGTAAAAATTGATCGAGAAAAAAATATTATCTAATTAATTAAAAACTGTACAGATTATAGACAAAAAAAATACATAACATACATTGTAATGTAAGACTTTGAACATTTTAAAATCATCCACGATTAGAATACTGAAGTTTAGCTAAAAATATATTTTAAATAATACATTTATAATACTATATTACGTATAGAACACACAAATAAGAGCATTACCGTATCTAATGAATAATTAGCCTATCTAATAATTTTGTTTACGAAAATAAACTATTGTTTTTTAACATATTATAGTACTTATAACATAAATTTATTTAAAATAATATGTATACTATAGTATAATAGACTCAACGAATAAATATGTGATAAAGATAACAAACGTAATGGACACAGAAGAAGTTTTAAATTAATACGAGATGATGACAATCAGCAATGCATTTGAATTCGATTACACAAAATAATATGTGTGTATGTATTAATTGTTGTACAGATAAATTTACAATCTGGTAATGAAATACAGTGGGACAGGTTAGTTCAAATGTTGTAAATTTGTAAACCTAATACCAATGGCGAGTTTAAGACAGCTTCTTACATCATTGACAAGTGCCAAAATGTATACCTTTTCCAAATACCCACGTTCAACAGTGGTCTATCCATGGTGCGAAAACGAAATCTGATAATGTATTATTGTATAATCATCTGAAATAATTGTATATGTATTGTCATAGAAAACACGGATGCATGCAAAATTTCAAGTCGATCAGAATACGGAAAGTGAATAAAATATCGATTGCAAGATTCTACCCACCGACAGAGAAAGCGAGATGAATGAAAACCGTATAAAATTAAATAAATATGTAAAAAAAAAATATACTTGGCCTGGAGTACTATTATTATTATTATTAAATACCTAATAATAATACTAAAAAAGTTCAAAAATAATAATATATTGAATGTGATATGCTAATTTGAAATGCAATAATAATAATCACAATAATGTCAATAATAATTAAAAACCGAATTAACATAGTTTTCGATGATATTAATAAAATAATTTATTCACAAAGCAATTATAATTAAAAATAACAATCAATCAAATAATTAATAAAAGGTGATTAAATAATAATAATGTAATATAGGTAGGTATTAGTATATTAACAATAGTAGTATAATAACAATAATTGCTAGGGGAATACGAATTTCCATCAAATGATATTTCTTCTTCCTGATCAATATAAATGTTAGAGTAACAATAATGTCCGGAAGTAAAATAATGTACCAGTTAGACTAAGGAAATCTTATTCCAAGAAATATTTTACTGGAGGAATAAGAATTGTTATTAGTTATTACAACGATTTAAAGTTATTTTGCAGCGAAACTTTAACAAAAAAAATATTAAACTAATATTAGGTTTAGATACACAATTCGATTGGTGCTAGTTATCTATGTAATACTTTATAGTTGTATACATTTTGAAAAACCGATAAATTGTGAAACTTGTCTGAATACATTTAATTTAATCTAAATTGATTTTACGAGTATACATTTTTTTTTTAAGTGTTTATTAGTAATTCAGGATAAAAAATATTTAGCGAGTTGGGTTGACTGCGTTATATTTATATTATTTTCAGCGACGCATCACTGGTATATTATATTGACGACAGGGAATAATTCGTCCCCGTATAATAATATGAGCCTTAACCTATCCAAGGTCCATCACGATTAACGAGGCATTTGATAATCTCATCAGAGCTTGTTAAAATTTAAATTCCAAGATCATAATACAATTTCTACAATAATTTCTATAAGCCACGGCTAGAATCTAAAACGATGAAATTGTCACAACAGCAATATTAATGTTTGACATTTTGTCAGCTGTGAATTTCATAGATATTCATAATTGTTCAATGTTAGGCTTTAATATCGTCTTTCTCATGTTTAATTCAAAGCGGTAGTATATTATTAATAAAATATTTTTCGTGCATAATTTTGTTAGAAATAAAAAAAGTAACCGATCACGAATGGAATCCACCTGTAATATTAATATTTATTATAGTATTTATTACAATTTGTAATGTGATGACCATTATATTTTATTTGTTGGAAATCTAAGTTTATATTGGGTAACTAACTGCATCTGATGTTGATTCTCTATTATGTTATTTAATAGTTATTTAATTTGCGAATTTCCTTCGTTTCATTTTTTTTTTTTTTGTAACCGATGAAGAATGCGATTTTAAACAAAGGAGACATACAAACTTGATTATTATACATATATATATATAGGACTGGTTGGAATTTAAGTGAGGAGGACAAGGTAGTTTTGCTCTCTCCATACAATATAATAATATATAATATAATATGAACCTGTGTCACTGATTATTTTACCAAACTACATATTATATAAATCTTTAAAATAATATTATTCGAAAAATAAAATTTAAAAATAAATAACTTTCAGATTTATCAGTTATATTTTTATCAAAAAAAAAATAAAAATATAGTACACGTGCACATACATAAATTAATAAACTATAGATTTCTAATAACAGTGATATCACTAGGCCAATGTTTTTGGTTGAAGCAGTGGCGTATTTGATCACCCCTCCTTGGAATTTTTCGGCTGTGATTTTTCAATCACAGTTAATGGTTATAGGTAATATATAGACTATAGGCAATAAAATAATATAGTATTTATAATTGTGTTATTTGTTATTTCTTGGGTATTTTTATCAGCGTTAAAAAAAAGTAATGATAATAATATAACTAGGGCAATTTTTTTGTCTATAATACACATAGGAATATCGATGTGAATGTCCAAACAATAGTAATCATAGATTGGTTTGTAGGAGAAAAAAAGATTAATATTGCTTTAAAATTGTTGTAAATATTTTTGTGTATAATTGTTCGATATGAATATATATAGAGAGTATACATATTGTGTATATTATGTTACGGCCGTTACGGGTAAACACCAAAATTGTGCAAATCTCAGAAATGCACAAGCAAAACGCGAAATGTCCCACGGTACTTGGGCAAAACGTCATATTTCGGATTTTTTCAGGACAAATCTATATAGTAGTGACCAACATCATTTGGGCAAAACTGTAAGGTCCATAAATTTCAATTTTTCACATTTCTGAGATTTGCCCTATTTCGGCTTTTGACCATAATATATACATTTTTTTTTAATTACCAAGGAGAGGAATTACAAAAAAAAAAAAATAATAACTGTTACTTTTTTTTTTTTTTGAGACAAGGAAACCCCTCCCAATATTTTGTGATTTATTAAAATATTTAAGCCGCGACCTTCTTGATTGAGCTCCAGATACGCTACTGGATTGAAGCTGCAGTCGGTAGTCATCAGTTCATATAGGGAGGGACCCATGGGTGGTCGTATATAGTGATAACTGTTAGTATCCATCTTTTTACTATTGTTACTGCGATGACCAAAACCAAAAGTGTTCAAGGCCAATGGGCCTTGAATTCAATGGCAAATTGAAACTTTATGGGTTCACTAGTTAAAAATCAAGCTGATAATATTATATAATATAATATCTGTATATGCATATTATGTACTTTTTAAATACAATGTACAATTTCTGTAAAATAAAAATTAACAAAATAATATTTGCCGTCGATGCCTATACCGTTTTATTGTGTATAATTAAACCAGATAATTAAATTTAAATTGATCGTAGTACGGTATATTTGTATTATTATTAATTCATATTAGTACAGTACGGAATATTAGAGAAACTACCTACGATATTGTAATTTGTAAGTACCAATACAAATTAAAAATGTACTAATTATGTAAATTATTATATAAATATTCTGTAAATTGTAATAGTTACCTTAAAATTATAGTCACATAGGTTTGTGTAAAAAATGTTATCATGAAAATACGTAACAATGTGTATGATGTGACGACACTGTCCAAAATATTACATAGGTAGGTATATAAAAATATTACTTTTTGGGTGTGTATGTGAAATTCAGAAACCGGGTGTTGGCTAAACAATATCTAGTATCGTTTACCTTGTAGGCGTATACAATATAATCGTTTATAATAATTATTACATAGTTTAGCCTATTACATATAATTTTGAGTTTAATCGATTTTTTTTTCAAATCATTTTTAAATGCTGCTCGGAATATACAATTGTCTTTATTTCTCACGATTTCCATGAAATTTCAATATAATATTAAAAAAATAAATATCAAATCAAAATATTGTTCGGGTTTAGTTAGCCATCTATGAAAAAACATTTACTAATAATATTATCTCAATCCGTTCAAAATGTAAAACGATACCAAATACCAATATATATGGCGTATAGCAATACTGAGATATTTTAAAAAATATACCTACAAAGTTTATCCATATTATAATAATGTACAATATATATACTACATAGTAATATAGTACGCTGAAATTAACTTAAAAACTTGAAAACTGTACTCCTTTTTTAAACTAAATGAATGACGACGAACATTACCTAATTGATTTTAAATTTATCGTTAAATAATTATTACGTACACCTAAAATAATTTATACCTACGTTATATCGAATTCGTTAATGGAATATTGTTTTCGATATTCTTTTGTGGGTAGATACAAAAGAAAATTATTTGAATTGAATGATACGAATTGTAAAAAGTAAATAATAAACAGTCATTCAAATAACGGAAGGAGAATTTAGTCTAAACCTTATTGGAACCGAATATTGTAGGCTTGTATACAGAATTTTAACCCAGGTACAAATCAGATTGAGCCAGATTACAACAGTGATAAACTCGCAATGGGTACATACAAAAATGTTAAATATGCTTTGAAATTATACATAACAATGCAATTAAGCCTGCGCGATGTTAAACAAAATAACATCGCGTCATATTATAATATTCATATAAATATTTTATAACCACGATACTAACAAAACATAAAATATTATATGCATTTATTATACTATACATGGGTTTACGAAATGTATTAGAAGATAAAAACATAAGTAGATTATTGTATAGCTAATACGAATATTAAGAAAGTACTCAGCAGAAAAAAAAAACAAAGTCATACATTATTATCGAGTATTGCACAAAAGAGATTTCATCGATTTATGTTTCGTTAGTTTAGTAAAATATAGTAAAATTTCAATGTACGTATGTACATACATGTATAATGTATGATATATAAATTTAAATTCTAAATTTTATTGATTTTTTTGAATATATTGATCATATATAAACGGTGATGTTTCTATTATAGGGTTCACTACATTATACGCTGTATGTTCTCAACATTTTGTTCAAAAACCTCGGTATAGATATATGCTGTAAAAAAAAAAATTATCATGATATTTGAATACTAATATGGCCCGTTAATATAATAATCAAGTACGTTTACAAAAAAATATTTGGAGGGGAATTAAAGGTTTAACACTTTCATACTCTCATAACAAATAAGTTTACATACTTTCAACTGTAGGATTAATTTTTTATAAAAATTTTAATATTTCATAACATTTATTTTTAGCCTTTTAGGTACGTATTACTAAATTTTACATTTAATATTTTTTTAGAGAATATAGCCTAATTTATATTATTGTGGTGATAATTCGGACTATCCAATAATGCTGTATCAATTATAATTTTCTAAAAGCAGGAAAAACACAATTATAAATGACAATAATAATAATAATTTACACCTACTATATATCTATTTCTCTATAAACATTATAGAACTATACAATAGGAAAAATATAAAATACCCCATGTTAGGCTCAAGAAGTTATAGCATACTCTCAAAAAAATGAATGAAAACACCACTAGTATATAGACAATGTCTATATGCAGTGTCTATATACAACAGAGAAAAAAAAAAATGTCTAAATATTTTTAAAATTCTAATAACTAAACGAATGTTATATATAGATAAGTAAGTAATATAATATCCTCGATTTTGAAAAATAAAGACATATTATTATAATATTAAAATATTCAAGTTGGTTGTTTTTTCCTTGAGTCTATGTATACATCATACTATATTCGATTATGAGGAGGATGTAAATATCCAATATCCATATCGGGTTCTGAACCACACCTTACCCAAGAAAAATAAATAACAAGAGTGCAAGTTTTGATAACAGATTTATTTGTTTGCATTTATTATTATTACGTGTACAAAATATACGCATCATACATTATTATTACATTACCTGTATATACATAAGGAGTTTAATCAAATATTTTTCGAAAACATTGCATTTGTATTATTATAATAATCTATTCATAATAAAAAACAATAGCTAGTACAGCTGGTGGGTGTGTCACTGTTTTAAGAGAGAAATTGGAAGGGAGGATATATATGATATAGATTTATAATTTATAACGCAATGATAAACCATATAAACTCATATAAACAAATAAAGCTAATTAAAAACAATTCTGAGCAGAATATTATTAAATGTACTTTTTATATCATGGTAATCCAGAAAAACCAAACAAAAATTAAACCATAAATCACCAGTTTTTCCCATTTTTTTAAGAAAACTGCAAGGAAAATCAAAAAATGGCTTCCTCGTTGTATCAACTAGATCAAAATTGGTACAAGAAATTTTCCATAAACATTTTGGAGCAAGATATTTAGAAAAAAAAACATTTTTTATTGAAAAAACAAAAACGCATCATAGTAAAACATTCTTGGTTATCTAAAACCATACATTTACACGATATCAAGTTTTCAATAATTATTCTTCCTTTATAAAGATGATTAAAAAAAAAGCTTGTTCACACCACTCAAAATCTAAAATAATACCAAACGCTCAACCAAAACATTCAAAAACTTCGTTTGTTTTGTCTATTACCGTACAAGTAAATGAAAAGAAATAGATAAACGAGTCTTTAAAAATATTATATTATTAACTATATGAAACTTTCGATAATATACAACAAATAAATAATAATAATAATTCAATATTTTTGTTAGATAAATGTTAATGTAGATACATATATAACATTACCGTCAAAAATATTGATTGCTATATAAAAACTATTATTTTTGTTGATCAAATTGCTTTCTTAGTATACGAGTAGGTACACAGATAAGTACCTGTATTCACTTTGAATTGAAAATAAACATAAATATAATTTTCTGACCGAGTAAAAAAAAAACCAAACCAAATAATAGTTTATACTGCAAAACTCAAATAATATGAAAAAAAAAATACCTTTGAAATTTCCTCTACGCTCGACAGTATATAATAAAAATAAGTTATGATTCGGTATTCTGAAAATTCAATTTGGAATGATTTTTTTTTTTACTTTTTCTATCGATTTATTGTTATTTGATTGTATTAGCTTATAGTAGTTTTATAGTAGGGTATATACCTATTTAACTTATTTAGTTTTAAAAAAGTATAAAATACAATCAATATATCATTTAATATTCATTATAATTTCATTGTATATAACGCGAATATTATGCAGATATTCGTTTAAATTACAGTTATACATTTGTTATACAAAAGTATATTAAATATTATTATCAATCGAATGATTTCGAAACAGACAAAGAACAAATTCTCCAATTAATTCATAGACACGACTAATGTTTTGTTAATATTGTGACTATTTTAATTATTTTAACTATTTAACAGTCGCTGCAGTTACTTAACAACTCCGAATACAGTGAATTCTCGTTTAAAACATTATTATATTGGCACAATTCCAAAAAAAATGATTAAAAGACGACCTCAGCCAATGGAATATTTGTTCCAATTTTGATTTTATAATAGATGGTTAATTGAAATGTTCTACTTTATGATGCGCGTTGTTTATACACAAATAACGAACGATGACGACCGAATCGTTAAAATAATGCCTATTATAATATAATACTAGCATTTAACACACATTTCGATACTCATCTACACGGTCAAAATAATATCGTCAACTATACAGAGCGAATTTTCGTTATTATGACCCAACGATTTTTTAGAAGGATTTTAAATAAATTTATATTCTGTTTTAGATTTTGAGTGAATGTATTTATTTTACTATATTTTTTTTTTTTTTTTTTTTTTTTACTGTGTACAAGTGTACACAAATTCTACCAGAAATCTTGCTCAGATATATATGCGCGGCTCCATTTCTGAATGGGAATGTTGTACAGATGGTACTTTTGGAAGGTCAATTTTTGATTTTCCAAGCGGTTTTCATAATACCTGGGAAGAAAAACTTGAAATTTACGAAAATAATGTTTTTATTATTTTTCAATTTTGTTATTTGTTGTAAATTTATAAAAAATATTTGTAGAGAATTGAAATTAGGACAAAAAACTTATACTAGTCTTTTCGAGACGTGGTAAAATTTTAAAAAAATTTAAGCCATTCTTGAGGTGTTTATAGACATTTTAATTTTGAGAGTGTTGTACGTCATATTTATTTAATAGGTACTCTGTGGTAAAACTATTAAAATTGAACAGAAATGTTTCAAAATTTAACAGGAGGTTCATTAAAAGCCTTATTTTGTGGTAAAACAAAAAAAAATGAGTTTAATATGTACTATTTTTTTTTATAAGGACATTTCATTATCAAATTTTGACGAATAAATTATGTGGAACAAATATAATTTTCAATTTTTTTTTTTAGATTCCAAGTGTAGCGCGGAAACCATTGTGGATACATTTTTTCCTAGTAAACTTACTCCGATTTTGACATATAGCAACTTTTTTGAAAGCTCAAGTTGACTAGATTGTACTTTATACGGGTAACATTTTATTTTCGACGCCATTTTTTAAATAAATGCACTTAAGTGGGAAAAAACGTAGAAAAACGTATAATTTCATGATTTCATTATTTTATAAAAACACGGAAGATTTCTACCAGACAAAATGATTTAATCGAAAAATCACAAAATACCTTTTTTGTTGCCTTTTTGATTTAATTTCTATCAGTATCATGCAAAACTTTTGAGCCATTTTTGAGCTTTTAAGGAATTTTAATTTTTGGGAGGTTTTTTGCTGTAATTCTGTTATAAATACACGTAGAAACTTAAAACTTGGTAATAATACTTATATTGGACATAGACGTGGTAAAATTTCCAATCATCGCTCCCTCAGCCTATTTTAATTTCAAAATAACCCACGATTTGTTGTGCGAACTTTTCTATCAGAAATCTTGCTCTGATGTACCCAATGTAGCTTATTTTTATTATATAAGAATAGTCGTTTTTTGATTTTTCAAGCGGTTTTCATAATATCTGAGAAAAACCAGGATAAAATGTCGGAAAAACGGAAAATATACGAAATGTAGGTATTATTAAAAAAATATTATGGCCTTTTTTTTCTACCAGCAATTTCGCTCCGATTTAAAATTATAGCACTTTTTCTGAACGAAAATCTAACTGTAAAAGTACTTTAGAGAGGAAATTTTTCAGTTTTCCCAATAAACGGGAAAAATCGGGAAAAAACCTGAGAAAATCGATACAATTTTAACTAAATATTATTAAACATATTACATTAAAAATATAATATTATTAAATATTATACAATGCCTATCTTATTATTTTACCATAATATGACAGATATATTGTTGACAAAATATCACTATCAACTAAACTGCGCTCAGAATCGTTTTTCCGTTAACAATGATTTATCGTTGATTACAGATATACATTAAATTACCTATAACAATAGCTGCATCCGTCTCCATTATCCTAGGACGTCTATTATTTTTAATTTTCTAACACAATGGAATTATTTAATTTTAATTTTGACACTACTTTCAAATTATTACTCTTTTGATTTTCAATTAGCTAAAAGTATATTTTTGGCTAGGATGACAAGATACCTAAGACCGGTCTTAGGGATCTATTCTGTTATATTTCGTTAAAATATACTTACGAGTATACTTGGCATAGTTTCAAAAAAAGTGTACACAGAATATTTTACTAAGGAATAAGCATTTATTCTGATATTTTCTGTAGAATCATACTTTTTGTATTTTGTGTTTTAGTAATAACACTAATGAATAATAAAAATAACTGAAAACAAGAATATTTTTAGAGACTATATATGTACTTAAAATGTCGAGTCTATTTGTCGTGTCTAAGAATTTGTGAAAATAGGGTATTAATTTGTGCAAAATTCTTTCGAACGTATGTTTGGATAGGTATACAAAAAAATGGTTACAAACAATTCTTTGTCTGATAGCCGATATACACTATATACTATACAGTCCGATGACGAATAGTACTTGTATTATCCTTAACCGTCTACGGTCTCATCATTTTTTCAAACTGAAAATCGAATAATAATAAATGATACTGGTATGTTTGTTTTTTCTCTATACTCAATAATATATTAAATATATAAAAATTGCATTGTTATAACTTTTTAAAACTTCGGTGTTGTGCCGGCTTAAAGTAACGAGCACACTACACAATAGTATATGACTAACCTAAAAACACTTACTTAACCTATCCTTATCAATAGATATATTTTTATCACCACATCCCCCTTCTTTAAATTCAATCCATCCTTAAGATTTATCTACTAAATGTACTAATTAGAAATTAACTTACAAAATTATAACAATTCATAATATAGATAATAACATAACAAATCACACAAATTCAATAATTTACTAGTGAACATTTTTTTTTTTTTTATTACATCTATTATAATTAACAAAACTAGTATAATCATTTTAATACATGACCATTTAGCCTTTTAAATAATCTAGTTAATCTTTCAGGCCTTCCTTAGTACTTTGTTCTTTCCCACTCTCTTTAATTTTCCAACATCTTCCTCTTCAATTACCCTTATATTTATTTTTTCTAGTATTTTATGTATTAGTTTTCTGTTCTTCCAATATCTTTCTCCCTTATTCAACTCTATTATATATGATCTTCTATCACCTACTTTATTTTTTATGTTACCAAGCTCCCAAACCTTATCTCCTTGTAAATAGACTATGTCTTCCAATTTTAGAGGCTCTATTTCCAACTCCACCTCTACCATAATACTTTTTTGTTTATTTTGTATCATTACCAATTGCTTTCTAACATTTTCAAATTTCACATATTCTTCATTTATAGGTAATAGTCCTCTCAGGAGATGATTCATGGTTATAGATGTATTTCTGTATTCTAACAGTTATTAAGAAGATATCTATTTTATCATCTCTGCTTTCAGTAACAAGTTATTTATTAACTGTCGCATATTTTGCAGGAAATAAGTATATCAGTGGATATCATTGAAAGATTATCTTCTATAAAAAATCGAAAGTTAGACTTTTAATTAAAAATAATTAATAACATGTATTATAGTATTTTACGGGAATGAGGATAACTCATTTTTAATTTAATATTTATCTATTTTCATCTGATAAACGACATTATACAGCTCACATTGAACGAATTAATAAGAAGTTAAAAATTTACCTTTTTTTCAAGACATATTATAGAGTATGTAATAAAAACGTTATAAAACGGAGATCAATGCGAGCTGTAGGACGTCTTCATATTTCTAATAAAAAAATAATCATCGAAATCGAATCACTCTACGACGCATGAATTTTTCCCGTAAAGCATATTTTTGAGCAAATAAAACGCGCTGGCCCCTTAAGAAAAAAGAGTTATATAAAAAATATAACAGGTCATTCGCTGCTTGAGAGCGATTCAAATATTTTTACGAATGAAAAATTTTAGTACTGGTTAAAAATTAGAAATTTACGACGCCGGTCAGCGCTTTGGTAACGTCGTCGCTATTACGATCAGAATCCTAAATACTTTACAATTTCTATACAAAACTCAATTCAATTTTCATTATTAATGAATTATCTTCTATCGGCCCCGACGCAAAGGCCAACGGGGCCTCATAAATTCATAAAATATAACGATTTTTTTTTCATAGCATTATTTTTATTGGCCGCTCGAGAAATCCCTTCTACGATCACTCCATTGAGAACTCCGCCGAGATCAATATAGCTCGATAGCTATATAGCTCCGACTTTTAGCATCTAATCACTCATGTGTCATATATTCATTAATTTCCTTGAATGGTTTAGCCCTTTTTCAATAGTAATTTAAATACCAACATATTAGTTATTTGAGTGTACGCAGTTTCAGAGTATTAAATACTTAAATTAGAATATTTTAATTAAGTTTTCATCGCTGCCATCCAAAGGTTCCAAGATCGGATGAGGACAATTCCAGATAACCCTTGCGTTCCAACACCGTGGGTAGGTATAAAACAAATTGTATTCCTTATTTATTAATTTCGTCACCATTCTCGGACTTTCGACTCTGAAACCATCCTAACATTAGGCAGAAGGTAATTATTAATAACACAATCATTAAACTAAGTCCCCCATTTCCTCTTTATAATCTTCTCCTTCCGTTTATTTGTATATACTCTCACATATTGTTATATTCTCATCACACTTTTAGTCTTTGTATTGCGACTCTTATAACGAGAAATAAGTTATACATAAAAGATATATAATTTAATCATCTCTAGATAAACATTTTTAAATCATAGGTAATTTATATATTTATGAGAAATAATAAAATAGGCAGAATACTTAATTTATATTAAAATGGCTAAATAAATAAGTTATCAAGTAACAACAACAACACGACCTTTTTGATATTTTAACGTGTGTATGTATGTGTGTAGGTACCAAATTCGGTATATTTTAACTTTACTTTTAGAACTTCATACATACGTAATGAACACAATTATATATTCTTTTTTTTTCTAATCTAGAAAGAAGTTGTTGATTATTTGTCTTTATTTAGATATTTTTAAATATTTATCTTTATACAACGTTGCAGTCGCGTACACCTATGACGTACAGCAGGTTCAAAACCAAAAGGTATATTCTATCCATATTGTTACAAGACATTATAATATAATATGTACTTAATATATATTATTTAAACCCGTGGAAACGAAACACATTGCCTTACTTTTTTAGCATCGGCCGAGGTAAAAACTTCTTGTATTTACGTATAAACCTACCTACATAATAACATTTCTATATAGATATTCGCGGCTGCAGTGTGTTTTAAAATCCGTAACAGATTAGTGTTCATTGTTGTATTTTATGAGTACGAGTCGGGTCTTATGCACGGTATTTATATATTTTAAATTTTACTGTTAAACATCACGCTTTCTTATACGTATAGTATTATAGATTTCATTGATATAATGATATTATATAGATACCAATATAGCCAATCCAACCTAACCCACCAATAGTATATACTAACTATATACGACTGGTTGCTGCCCAGCATCTGTGGTCAGTGAGGGAAAGGGGGAAGGATAGTATAGATTATATTATTATTATTAATAATTAAAAGAGTGCACTGTCCGGCTACCGGCCAAGGACTTTTCGCGTGACACGATAATTATCACAAAAAACGAAATAATACAATAAACTATATATATATAGTATGTACACAGAACAGAATATTTTATGCTACACCGGTGTACGTGCGTGTTTAGTCCGTATTTAGCCTGTTGATCCCGAAATCAATAATGATTGTTATATGACGTCGCCGTAGTCATTTACAGCCTTTTTTTTTTTTTTTTTTTAAATAAAATAAGATTGCGTAACACGATATATAAAAATAAAACGCACGTGATGTCCGTAAAGTTTCAAACATTTCAATCACATTGTACTTATACGTTGGTAAGTATAATAGGTATTATACCTGCAGCGCTATTACAACTGTGTTTCGTGTGAAGGTTGCCATAGCCACGAAAAACTAAATATATACGAGTCGGTAAAAAAAAAAAAGCCACATTGATCTGACAAGTTTTTAACGCCTTCGCGCAGGGGTACAGGGGCAAAAAAATAATGGAAAATATTCATATACATATATATATATATATATTTATATAACTAAATTTCCCTTTGTTCGAGAAGCGAACATTTTCTCTTGTATAATATTATAATATAGTCACGAAATCGTTTTAAAGAAAATTACGGCGGTTTTGAATATATACCTATATAATATATATATATACCCCCGTCTCCGTCGTCATCATCGACTTTCAGAAAACTTATCGCGTTTTGCTCGATTCTTTCGCATTATTATTTAGGCAAATATATAATAATAATACAGAACTCGAATTAAATTATAATTTTTTTTCGCGGTCTCTCTTTTTTTTTTTTTGCCGCTGACGAGGACGTATATTGTTATTCACGTCATTTGTAAAAAGAAAAACCTTTCTGAAAAAAAAAAATTATTTTGATAGTTTTTTTGAACGTGACAACATCAACACACAATACAATAGTACCTATATATACACGATAAAATATTATTGAGCAATATTACGTCGTTTTTGATTAATTACAATTTTTACCAAGAAAATAAAAATATTATTATAGCAAATAAATGATTGTACATTTTCAACGGGATTTTTTTTTTGTTTTTACATAAATTTGCAATAAATGAATTATGGTTAACCGCCTAAACAGTATTATACGAGAACACTCCGCTTACACTACTACAATATTATTAATACGATAGTAACAAATAATTACTTTGGTAAAATTTCAATTTTTTTTTATACTAGCTCGTTTTTACACATTCAACGCGTGATTACAATATAATAAAAATTAACGATTAAAACGAAATTGACGAGGGTCGCGTTATTATATTTATTATATGTTTTTTCTTCTCCGTATAATATTTTGTGGCGACGACGACGCGCGAATTAAAAATTTACAATCGCGAGCACGCGCGAATTGATGAAAACGAACTATATAAATTGTACCGTGACAGTTACACACGAGCATTTTGAATACGCGGCACGGCATTCCGCCCGAAACTACAAAAAATTCGTACGGAAACAACCCACTTGAATGACATAACGGAAAAAACAAAAAAAAAACAAAAAAAAAAAATGTAACAGTTAAAAAACACACTTTCATTCAACATAATATAATATAATACGAGACCGGGTGTACGGAAAACCGTACCCGGAACAACACAATACTATAATAATACGCGGCGTAATAAATAAAATAATATTGTATATTTTTTGTATACCTATATAGGCGTATTATGTGTGAAACGGAATATTTATACATATATATATATATATATGAGTAGTGAAAGTGTTCCATTGGGAAATTAAGTTAAACCGTATCGCGATACTGTGACAAATGGTTCGCGACCAAATTATTTCCACCAGACGACGCAATAATGTATAAAAATGTACCCGGACAGACTGTGCGGTCGTACACTGACGACACACCGCGCCATTACCGCGGCAGCAGTGGCAGCAGATCCCGTTCCTGTAAGGAACGAATTGAACGGCGTAAAATCCGTAAGAAAAAAAAAAAAAAAACCATTATTAATATGTTACGTGTACGGTAAATTGAACGTAATTGAATCACGGGAAGATATTGATATTACGTATCTACGTGTGGGCACGTGAATTTATTTAAACATTTTTATTATTATTTTTTTTTTTTAAATTTCCGAGCTCAACGAGAAACGCATGCGTTGGTTTTACTCTGTGATAGGGGTTTTTATTTTCCGATCTGTGAACGACTTTTCTAACTATGTAGGCCATTTTGTCGGATTTTCGAGTGTATAGCGTCTTTTCTAAAATCAAATTTCGTCTAGTCGTTGCATCGGGGAGATTATTTTCCGTGCACGGTTAATATTCATTATTGGGAAAAAATAGAATATTCACGCCACCGAAAGGTTTCATTATTTCTATTTTCTTTTTTATCGTTATCATAATGCGGTTAAAACTAATCGTAGGGATCTGCAATTTTCACAGATTACCTTATATTAGCCTTTTTCTATAAACGTGGTAAAATTTCCAAAACATTCTAGTGATTATTGAGTCATTTATACATATCAGATGATCCATTTAAATTATTTATTTGAAAAGGTATTAACTTTTTCCGGAATTCGTTTTTTAGAATATTTAAGAAACAAGCTACTCTACAATTTTACATTCATTTTTTGTCACCCTTATTTTTAAAGGTAAGACCACTATCTACTTTTGATTTTCAAATGGCAACCTATATTAAAAGATCCATAAATAAATGGATTATTAGTTAAAATAAATTTCAGTGTGGACATTTTTTATTTCCATCGATCCATTGACGAGATATTTCATTTTTAAGTTTAGGTTTTAAGAAGAGAGAAGTGATGCATTATAACGCCGTATACCGTACCGTCACACAACTCTCCACTACTCTCCTCCAACCCAAACTTAAAAATGAAATATCTCGTCAACGGATTGACAGAAATTAAATATTTCAACAGTTAAATTTATTATAAATAATACTCCATCTTTATTTGAACTTTTTAACATAGGTTGTCAATTGAAAATCAAAAGTATATAGTGGTTTTACCCCCAAAAATAAGAGTGACAAAATTATTTTTGTCATAAACAAAAAATTGTAATATAGAGCTGCTTGTTTCTTAAATGTTATAGAAAACAAATTCCGAAAAAAGTTAATTTTTTCCGAAATAATGATAGTGTATCCACTTAAATGGATCACCTGGTACAAGCATTTCAGAAATTGTTGAGAAATTTTCAAGGTAGCTTAGCTCGACATTTTAACACTAGGTTCTTATGTGAATAACTACAACTTATATAGATAGTTGTAGTTTAAAATTTTAATGGACTCATAAAAATCACGGCATTTCAAAACATCAAGTTCAACCGAAGGCGATATAATTCATAAATTATTATATGTTGGTATGATTCATTGTAAAGAATTGCTTAACCGAGCCCAATCAAAATCGGTTTTCGTTAACACTGATTTAACATCGTATACGGATACAAATGAATCATTTTCATATATCCAACACTCAACTTCCCACCAACAACAGCGGCATACCTGTCAACAGCATAAGCTATATTATTTCTATATAATTGTGAAGTGAACCGAAGAATCTATTGATTTTTTACGGAATAGAACACGTTTCGGAAAAACGCACATGCATAATATAATATAGCTTTAAAATTCCGTAACCCATAACCTCGTTAAATGACTAAAAAAATATAAGATATAGCCGGTATAGGTACATTAGAATAAAGGTCACGTATTATTTGTAAATTTCCCATTATAGTCGAAAATAGTCGAGTATATAACATTATTATATTGACACAAAAGCGTTAAACTGTTTTGGCTTGAACCCGCACGCATTTAACCTTTACAAATTATTACCGAAAATATCATAAATTATTATCACTTTTTCCCAGCAGAGGTCCGCGTGAAATATAAATTCTAATTTGAAGGGCTTTGTAGAATATACTACTAAACAGCTCCAATTTTAAAATATTTTCAGGAAAAGAAAAAAAAGGTATTACAGAAGACGGGTGTGTAACTGTTAAAGGTGGAAAGTTGGAAAAGTAGAATATATAAAATAGTTTAGTTCATTTCTGTGCGCAACAACAAATCATTTTATGCGAAATTCGGATATACATGTTTTTAAATATAGTAATTTTTACGATTTTCGTCAAAATTGGATCTTAAAAGGCTTACAAAAAAAAAACCCATCATTACATACATTTTTTTTTTACCACAAAACAAAAACAACTTATATGAACCTGGTGTTGAATTGTCAAGCATTTCTGTTCGGCCAAACAATTTTATCCACATAAAATCTATCGATACACAAAAATTTCACCACTTATAGAAAATAATAGTATTATAAGTATTCTATACAAAATTAAGGTTTCTACGATTATTTTCAACCAAATTAAGCACGAAACCGTGCTCACCCCATTTTTTTTGGTTAAATTTTGCATATTTTCAAATACTTAGCTGAGATTTTTCACAAAATTTAAGCAGTATCCTGTAGCAAGTCCAACTTTGATTTTTCAAATGATAACCTATACTGAAAATTCTATAAATAGACGGAGTATTATTTTAAATACATTTTGGTGTTAAAATTTTTGATTTCCATGAACCCGTTGGCGAGATATTTCACTTTTAATTTAAGGTAAGGAGAGAATATTGGAGCACCAATAAAACGCCGCGCGCCGTACCGCCACACAAATGATACGCTTAACTTTAAAGTGGAATATCTCATTAACGGGTTGACGGAAATCAAAAATGTTAACACCAAAACTTTATTTTAAGTAATATTGCGTCTATTTAATTATTTTTAATACATCAGTAGGGTTCTTATTTGAAAAACCAAAGTTGGTATCGCCGCAGGATTCTCATTAAATGTTGTGAAAAATCCAAGTATACGAAAATATCGGTTTTAAACACAATTAAAAATTCTAGAAATCAAAATTTGAATACATGCAAAATTACCCAAAGAAATGGGGTTAGCACGCTTAGTGAATTCATCCTGTATACATAGATACTGGCATGCTTGAAAAGTAAATTTATATTAACAATTATTATGAATTAAGTATTTCGGTACCTACTCGAGCTTTTTATTTATCGTACACCAAAAGTGTTTTTATTTGTAACAATCGAGTATTATAAATACAATGCAACGGACTTGAGTATTTCATTTATTACCCAGTGGGTCTTGACTGACGGTGCTGTATAAATATAAATAAATAAATTGTATCTATATCTCGTTTTAAATTGCGCTGGCCCATTTAACTGTATGAAAATATATAAGTGCACAGAAGTCTTGCCGCTAAATTAAGGACGTTATTGTTTTAATGACGCGACCAAGTAGTGCACACCAATATTAAGAGGAATTTTTTGTTTGTTTATAGCTACCTACTTTAAAATAATACGACCAGAAGCGCTATAACGTTTATTTTTGTGAAAATCCGAACAAATGACGTTCCCGGGGGGTTAACTCTGCGGTGGAAAGAGTGATTTATCAAATATTTGATAAGACGATTTCCCTCTTCCCCCACCCCACGAATAATAGGACTCGATAATAATAATAATTGCCATGATAAACAATAGACATTTCGTGACGTAAGTAATATAGAACATCATACACGGGGATGCGCCTAAACAAATGACTGAGCTTCATATATATGTTTGATTAATGATTTGTCGAGAAACAAACCTTTATTTACCCTTTTAATATATAGGTAATATTTGATATATTCTTTTGATTATTACAAACAATACGCATTTATTTAGGATGACGCGTCGAAATTGACTATCTCTAAAAATACAACCATTATTTTAATACGAGTCCGCGCGGATCAGCTGATATTAAAACAATATTAATACGAAACGGTTTTAAGAAGTTAAAATGCTTATGAAAAAAAAATATACTATTTTCGAAGGATTTCTCATCGTATGATAGTGATCAATTAAAATAATAATATATACATTTTATTTTTTTTATATATATAAACACACGTTTCAAAATCTGGTTTGAAACATTGCTTGAACGAATTAAATCTAAAAATAATATTGCAATCGAAGACTACATTATTATTAGGTGTAACATTAAATATTAAAAAAAAAGAGAAGAAAAAATATACACAAAGTGTACGAGATTTCTTTGGAAAAATATTGTTTACGTGAACACTTTTTATATAGGTGGTTTTGCTCTAAACTTTTTTTTTATGACCGATCTGCACCAAACTGTTTATGCTACACGTTACACGCGTGAATGATAAAGATAACAAATATCTCGTCGTGACGTGCCACAGAATCGTAAACGTTCGTTTAAAGTTTCCATTTTAATATTATACGATGAAACCATTGGCTTAAAAATTGGGGATTTCCCCTACCCCCCAAAAAGAAAAAACTAAGCTCCCCTAGTATTAAATTCACATCGAGTAAAAATACTAAGCATACATTATTAATATAATGGGGACTTGAGCCCCCTCCTTCCAACAAAATTAGAGTTATTTGCGCCTGTGCACAAAACGCACCTACATAATATTTTTTCTCTTTGGGAAAAAAAAAATACGGTAATTATTTCGAATATTTTTTACACCCGACTCGTGTCTATGAAGGTCTTCTCTTTCGCTTTTATCCCAACTATTTGGGTTCAGCCACTCTAGTCTAAACTTCCACTTGACCCAATCATTCACATCGTCCTCACATACACACGCCGTCCTCATATTATACACAATTGCATCCAACCACCTCTTTTTCGGTCTTCCTCTCCTTTTTCCTCCAATGTTCTTTTTTCAGTTTCCTCTCTCTTCGTGATATGCCCAAACCATTTCGGTCTTTTTCTCCCATTTTCGCACTATCGAAGCCACACTTATGTTACTTCTTATTTACTTTTTAAACTGAAATACATTCGATTGGGTCGAATGTCACTCCACCAGTTTTTAAAGCATTTAGAATTGTTATTTTAATAATCATCTATGAACTGAATTAGACGAAGGGATATTTTACGTTATATTTAAATAATTATGCAGCAATGTAAACATCGATCCGTACAATTAATATGCATTACTTACGGATCTAACACGCCGTTTTTGGGGGTATAATGAATCAAATTTAGTTTATAAACCTATTACAATAGTTATTAGAGTACGTCATAAAGAGTTGGGTAAAGTATTAAAAGTCAATTTTTATTTTCTGTTATAATAATCTACCTAAAAACGTTTTCCTATGACCAAAGTCCTGAAAACGTCACAAACAGGCAGAACGATACATCCGCAAACAACAACAAAATCTACATTCAATTATTTCATTGATAGCTTTTTATGGAAATTAAATATACTGTAATATATATTTCACTACAAACTTTATTTGTATTACCTTTTAGAAAATATTAATTTTATTATTTGCCTATATTTAAACACATTGTTTGGAGATAAAGTTATAATTATTATAGCGATTAAAAATGTGAAAAAATATTGAATTGTTATATATTTATACAATTATTATTATTATTATTACTTTTGTTTGATTACAATTAATATTAAATACTGGTAATTAACAATTGTGTATATTACTTTATAACACGTTGGTCATCTTTATTTATTATTTTATTTGTTGAAACATAAATAAAAATGTATACATTTTATTCATTCATGTATTTTGAATATTACTAATTTATGAATATTTCCGAAATAAATCATTTCACATACTATTTAATTTATTTAATTGTGCCAATGACCTTAGCAATGTACAACTAGAACATTAATGGAATGAAACTATTTAACTGTATTCTACTGTTTTTTTTTTCTTCTAACAATTCATAATCAGAAATAGGTATATAGGTTTAAAATATGTTTACCTATGTACAATTTAAATTCACAGAAACATATACTTAATTGTTGATCATAGATTTACATGCTAAACATATTTCCAATGATGTAATACCAAGTTTACCTATATAAATAGTTAAATTATATTTTTAAGTTTCACTACTTTATGCCAAATGGTAACTATAGGTACCTACCTAAAAATAAAACCAAAAAAGTAAAAGATAGTTACACGAATCAACAATAACAAAAACATGTCTGTTTTGGCAAGGGGCCATTTCTTATGCTGTACATTTCACATAGTTATAATAAATACAACATTTTCATTTTACAATTGTTGTAAAAATAAAAAAAAATAACAATAAGTTTAGACCATACATTTCATACATGTATAGTACAAGCTATAATAAATATAGACACTTAATTTGGTTATTAATAAGTAGGTAATATGAAATTAAAATGTATAAATGTAGGTAGGTAAATTTTGTCTTTAAAAAATATTTGGTTGTTGTAAAATGGTAGTTGTAAATAGTACTAAATACATAATATACATAAAAATATGTATCTATATAATTGTCTGGATAATTTTAAAACAGTTGCAATATACCCGTTACATGATAATATTATATTTATTTGTATAGAAATTTCTATTTAAACAATAATTAAAAAATTCTTACTTATATATTAGTAAGGTACCTATTTAAAAACAACATTGATTTTAATTATTATTTAAATTTTGTAAAAGAAAAAAACACCAACAACACCACTATTTTTAATTGGATAATATATTCTATTTACATGAAGCTTAGATATTAACTAAGTCATAATTATTTAAATCAAAACCAGATATCTGTTTTTGAAGTTGAGATATCTGTCATTCAATTTTGTTATCAATGAGTAGCTAGGTACTTCAAACACTTTAAGTTGAATAAATACCTACACCTATTCAATTAATAAATTGTAATTATGATAGGTACACCGAGATATTAATAATCTCTATATTGCATTATACGGTTTATCTCACTGAAGATTAATTTGTTCCAATTTTGGTAAAATGTTGTGTGGTGTTGAAAGTGTTTCTAGCGAATTCCCAAAGATGGCATTGCATTACCAATTCATAAAAAACTAATGTGTGGTAGATATCTAGTCGTTAATCGTTCCGCATAACTGTGAATAGATGAGTCAGAAATAAAATATTAAAATAACTTGCTTTCTATCATACTATGTATCAATGATTAGATATTTAATAATTATAATATATTAAAATATAAGTTATTTAAAATTAATGATACTAAAATTAAACTTAATATATCAGTAAATAATATTATTATGTAATCTGAATTTTAATTTTAATACAATTACCTAATGGAATTCCTATATTACTTTATTGATTCATATTTTGTTATTTTGATTATGATTCATTTATCATTTAAAACTGAAATTGTTCAAACATTAAATACTTAATAATTCCCTATCTTTTAAAATTGATGAACACCAAATCATTTTTTTTTTATTAACCAATAAATATGTAGATAAATACGCTTGTATCGTAAAACTTGATATGCGATTAGTAAATCCACCAAAAATATCAATTAAATAATTAAAAAATAATTATGTGACTATTAGGAAATGCATTTATTGAGACATTTATTACTTATTATTACTATACATTATAATATTATTATGATTTCACTCTAGATTTCACTATCTTGAAATTGTATTTAATACCCAAAACCAATTACCCAAGATTTTCAAGTATAATTTAAAAGTAACAAATTATAAATAATGTTTTTTTTTTTTTTTTTTTTTATTGAGTACACAGACTTTTAAACATTAAAACTTTGACATAGATAAATTCTGTAGTAATAATAATTAAATGGTGTCTTCAACAAAATACTATACATACACTAACACAATTTAAACAATACCTAAAACATAGGTAGGTACCTACTAATTTTAACAGCAATTTTTGCTAATTAAGTCTAAATTGAAGTAAACTTTATAAATACCTACCTAATTGTCATATAAAACCATAGAGACAGTATTTTTTAAATTCTAGACAATTACCTAAAGTTACAATTTGTCTACCTATTAACTAAGTTAGAACTATTAAAATTAATAATATAGATAAATAGGTACCTATTCTGAAAAAGTAATACATGTGTAATTATTAAAAACATAGTTAATTACAAATTCATTTCAATGACAAAAATTGAACAACAATTAAGATGTTCATAATTAGTACCTACAAACATAAATTGATAAATGGTACCTTTCAAATTAACGATTTATTATTAAGGTCTATATTTTGTCAACACCCGATCAATTGACAATATATTTTTAATGGGTACTTACATTATAGAAACTAACCGAATATGGGGTACAAGTACAAAATAGGTAATAATTGCACAATATTTTATGGTAAATTAATGCCTTACCCGAAGCAATTGCAGGATGTTAAGTAATTATAATGAAATTAATAACGAATTAAATGGGTACCTGGGTACACAATTGGCTGGTGTGCGGTCAACTTCCCAAGTTGCGAACAGCTTCATTGGCACCGGTCGAGTACCTGTGGCGGGTGTCTTGACGCATTTCTCGGCCATGGTAGAGAATAAAGACACCGAACTTGGCACTGTACTCTGGTCAATCGCGGTGTGACCGTACACTAGGTACCGTCCTGATTATACTATGGTATCGTTACGGTACATGGAAAGCGGATGGACGCCGGTGGTCGTGTGAACGTTCCTTTTAAAACAGTCGTCGGCTGACGTTAATACGGGGTTGCATTTGTGGTGCAAGGGTGGACGGAGAAAACCGTGACCGAAAGATGAACACGAATCGTGTGAAAAAGACAGAGCGAATAGATAGAAGACGACGGAAATTGTGCAGCGGACCGGGGTCCGGAATTGACGAAAATAAATCGAAATAACGAACACCTTAGAACAGGAGTCGTACGAAGGAAAAAACGTCAGCGGAGCTAGACGGCAGGAAACGACAACGAACGACCAACAGCTAATCACGCCGCACACATAATAACATAATAACACAGACGACGAGCCGACTAGCGTTATCAACAAAACGGCAGCGGCGGCGGCGGCGGCGGCGGCGGCGGCGGCGGCGATAGGCGCGCGCACGCACGCGAAAACGCGCATATATTCATTTTTTTTAATCTTGGGCGGCAGCAGAGGCGGCGGCCGCGTCCCGGACGGTTTGCTGCGAGCGCTCCCCCACTCTACACCTCCAACCGATCACCTCCCTCCCCGCGTCCCCTCCGGGCGGTGTACAGACTTTCGCCTCCGGGCACCATCACGGCCCGGCGCATGACGTTCTGCACCGCGCCGCCGTCGACGGTCGGGTTTTACCGCCGCCGTTTTGACGTGATGGTGGTGTCGGCAGCGGCGGCGATGGTTTTACAACAACAAGGGGAAAAGGGATTCTTCTCGAAACGGCGGCGTCCGACAGTTCCGACGCTGCCCGGTTGAGACATCGGGCACGCGGGCGGTGTCAACGGTTTCCCACAGCAACGGTGGCTGACAAAGACGATATAATAATAATATTCATGAATGAATGAATGCACATGATATTCCAGCGGCCTCGGGAGCAGCCACTCGTATATTTTATCGTGTACACCACGAGTACGTGATATAATAATAAAAATAAATACTATTTTACTATCCAGTATTTTGTTGTCCGACGATGCGACGGGTGTAATAGTAGGTGCCGTTTTTTTTAGTAAGTATATTAAGCGCGTGGTATTATTAGTGTCGTTCGGGGTTCTCTATCTACCTGTCCCGGCATAACGACGCGACAACCGCGGGAGAAAAACGATTGAAAACAATTGATAGAGAGACGGATAAATAGTAAATTACACGTAGAGAGATTGGAGATATAAATACCTAGGTGCATAACCGGTCTGAGATATTATTCAACCCTAAGCAAGTATATTTTTAGCCACCCTGTCACCCCGCTATATTATTATAGTAGGTACTTATATTTAGTAAAATTTTACTCGTCTACAATATCCAAATTATGCCACCGTCCCTAACCCCCCCCCCCAAAAAAAAACCTTGACGCTATGGACAGATGCCTATTTTGGACCGGCCCTGCCTGTAAGTGGCTACCGCACCGCTTCTTAGTTACACGTCCGCGGGTTATAAATAGGACCAATATTTTGAATGTACATATTTTCCATTTACAATGGTATTTTAATTTTTTGTATAAATAAGTAAATGTGGACGTTTTATGTATGTTGTAACCAAGGTTTGGAACTCAAAACATATGGATTATGCATATTTGTTTGGAAAGTGCACATTGTATTCGTATTATTCTGGTTTGACACAAACTCGTTTCGTATAATAGGTACATATAAATTTCCAGTAAAAATATGTTTGTCGCATAATTTTACATATTTTGTTGATTTTTTCATATTTGTTTTTAGATTTTGGGTTAAACGTGTAATGTAGGTACCTTTAATTTTATAATAAGATATGATATATAATATCATATCTATATATCATATTATAATATGATAATAAGCACAATATGATCTGTTTTTTTTTCTTAACAACTTGTCTACTATAAATCTTACTCCAATCACAAAATGTACTTTCTTGTAGCATTTTTAACCAAACTGGTGCAAAGGGAGGGTCATTTTTTGGTTTTTTTGTAGTTTTCTTAATAAATGGGAAAAACTAGCAATTTTCAGCATAATTTTTGTTGATTTTTAGATTACCTTGGTAACAATGAACAGGAAAAAATATGACTAAATTTAAACTGCTCAAAATCGTTTTAGATTCTGAGTGGAGCCAAGAAGCATATAATTTTAAAAAAATGTTTATTTTTTTTCTGTGGACAACTTTTCGAGGTGAAATTTTGCTGCGATTTGCAATTGTGGCAATTTTACAGATATATATTTAATTTTTCCCTCTACTACCTTCCAAACTTCTCACCTATAACAGTGGCTACATTCACATGCGAAGTTATTATTAATCGTTTTTCGTTATGCACAGATATAAATTAAATAACTCTATATAATATCTTCCCTTTAAATGTCTCTTTTAAAAGAGTGGCATGCCTTTTAGCAATACTAGCATTTTTAAATTGACATTTTTGGTAAATGTTAGTAATTACAATTTTCATTTGTGATTTTAAGATCGAATTTAAAATTGTATATTTTTTTAATAATGTCTTAATTTTTACTGAACATAATTCTGTTTTTTAACGCATTCGTATGGGCATATTTAATTGTTTTTCAACACACATAAATTCCGAACCTTGATTATAACTTATGAGTAACGGGTTTCGGTTAAAATATGCATAGTTTTAAACAAAAATACTTACTGATTTTTTTCGAAAATGAAAACTGTACCAATCATACCGTATGTTACTACATACGACGCAATTAAAATTCGTAAAATTCTTTATTTACTGGTTAATTGCGTACCGAAAATATTTCAAAAACTTACCGATACATAAAAATTGTTAATTTGATTTGGAATTTGATCTGGGAAAGTGATTGGTGATTTTTTGATACTATATGTTTTAGGACTCCCCCTCTTCCACCTTGAAAAAAATGCTAGTTGTGCAACTGGATTATAGACTATTATAGCACAGTCGACGCGTTTTTTTCTATTGAATCCAAGGTAACCCAGAAATCAGCTAAAGTAAAACCAGTAAATGGTAATTTTTTTGTCAGTTTTTTAAAAACAAAATTAATGTTCTAGTTTAGACAAATTTTAAAATAAAGTACTACCGAGCAAAATATCAGCATCTTTTTCAAGTAAATTCATCAATATGATGTAAAAAAATCGCAAAAACATTTTTACTAATCAAAAAACAAAATATATTATCTTATTAGTATAGGAAGTATAATTTATTTGCTACCTACACTCAGAATCTGTGTAATCATTAGTCGTGTGCCCAATAATTTTCGATGAAAGAAGATTTAGTAAATTATAATCCATCTTTTTCCGGGTCCCCTCCTACTCTATCAGGACACACTCCCTGTTCCACTTGCCTTAATACCACACCTCTTATCGGTTTAATAATCCTCTCTACCGTGCTTTGTGTTCACTCAATGCCGTTTAGTTCAGGCCCTTTCGATCATGTTCCTTAGATTTAAGTTACCCCGTTGCTGTCACATCTTCTACCTAATTCTAGTTTACTTTAAGATCACCTTGTACAAAATTGCCTATTTTGGCATTTAAATTAACAAAAAAATAAATAAATAATCATGATTCATGAATGAATCATAGATTTTTCTGTTAAACGCAGCACGTTGGGGTACATAGACCTTAAATGCAATATGTTTAGATATAAATGAATACACCGTTTGTTTACAACATAATATTATCTTCTAAAAAAATAACACGTCATCGGAACGGAACACGTCATCTTCTAAGACCGTGTTCCGAAGTGATAAAAAAAAATGTTAAATAATTTTTATTAAATATCATTATGATGTAATATTACTATTATTATTTTGAAGTTTTGAAACGGAGTGGGGAAGGGAATACAGAGATTAAATAAAAAGAGATAAATTATATCACGCTTACAACACTCATTCACACAGTGTATATTTTATATTTGTATAGTTCTTTCTTTTACATCCTTTATTATCCTTTATAAAGTTAAGTACCACTAAAATCGTTACGGTTCATGCATACTCCCCAATTAGATATTCCTCGTCTCAAAACTCGACTATACCATTACCAAACGCCTGCTTTATCGTTGCCAGTCCACATTTTTTTAGTTCATGATATTATTAGCCATTATGTAACATTGATAATATTATTATGATATTCTTTTTATCAAATGAACGCTAGATGAACAGAAAAAAGTCATGCATGGCTCGTTAATGTAAAATTATACGTATTCAAATTTGAACACGTTCTTTCCAAACACTGGTTTGGACACATCCACACAAATAATACAATAATACTATAATATTTTAGATTTGGATCGTTGCGAGGGATGTATTGGTTTTACTAAGATGTGTATTTTTAAGCTATTTATAGACATTTTAATTTTGCTAGTCAAAATAATTAAGACTAATGTGGTATTTTTTTTTTTTATAAGAATTTTAAAATCAAATATTACGGCCTTTCAAAAAATGTATAACTGAACTTCGCTCCGAATCGATATTCGGTTCTCAATGGCTAATTGTTAGTTACAGGTATAAATTCAATAACTTTATGTACCCCACCTTCCCAATTACCTACATACAACAGTGGTAACACCATTCCCAGTATCAGCTCTTTTTTTCTTCTTTTATTAATTTTAAAATTGTTTAGAGCCTTTTAACGTTACTTGGAAACAGCATATTAATTTTTAATTAATTTTTTTTAGTCTTCCGAAAATATTTTAGTAATGTTTAATTACTTATTTTAGTTTTAAAATTATTATTTATTTTGATATGTGATGTTTATTATTTTCTTACATTTTGATACGATTATTTAATATTTTTACCAATGATCGAGAACCAATTTAGGATAAATATTTTTCAACATCTTTATCGAATTAATATATAAATCATAAATTATGATTTTAAAGTCAGATATCAAGTATTTTGTAAGTATCTTTGTGGTACTCAAAATAACTAATCCTATAAAGATAGTTTATCGTTTTCAAAAATTTATAAATCATAAAATACTATTCCTTCGATAATACGTAAGTATACCTATTGCATATACAGTAGAAGCCGTTTATTAGGAACACTTTGGGACTCAGGTGAAACTTGTCAATTAACCGATTGTTTCTAATAAACGATTGATTTTAATATACGATTGATTTAATATACGACCAGTCCGTCCCTATACATTTTGTTTCAATAACGCGATTATATCTATTATCCGTGTTCCTAATAAGCGGCTTCTACTATATTTCCAAATGGGCTATATAGCTAGTATTTCTATTTTGCATGTATCAATGAGGTACTCACACTGTTCACGTGTTATATTCATGTATCCAAACGTGTTATGTGTTTATGATTAAACCAAAACGTGTTCTACATTTACAGGTAAAAATACAGCAGTGTACCCAAATATGTTACGGTCCTTCTG